TATATATATATATATATATATAGACACACACACATGTATATTCTTGTATTACTAGAGCTGATGATGATGACCATAATTCAGTTGTAATAATTTCACCTATAGTGCCCCTGATAGTGTCACGTGTGCCAAGTGGAAAAATGCTGGATTGACTTATAAACATGTCCCACTTGCACAAGTATAAAGTCGATTATATAACTATTCTTCTTTTAGTATTGTGTCCATTTTATTGAGAATGCAAATATATGAAGTGATATTATTTTTGGTACCTCAACTTACTTATCTTCAACTGTAGCACTCATTTACTTATATTCAATTTAGCAGCAAGTCCCTCAAGTAATAAGTCGTCCATCCAAAAATGAAAGTTAGGGACCTGAAAACGATCAAAATCACATGTATCCCAAACAATAGGAGCATTACCATCATGGAAAGTGACGACATGTAAAATCTTATGATACTTAGACCCCGTTTGGTACACATTAATATAAAAAATGAGAATGAAAAATATAGTCATTACGATCCCTACACAAAAGATAGAAAGTCAAATATGGTGACTTAATGTGATGAATAACGATCATATTTTTTATTTTAATGTACAAATAATGGTAAACAAATGAGGGCTTAAATTTAAAATGTATGTCTTCGACAACAATTATCTTTGCATGATGCAATATAATTCACAAATGTCATGAAAATTATTTTTGATAACTCGAACTAAGTTAGAGTTGACCAAAGAAGATTATAGCTAATTATTTTTAAGAAAATAATTGATTTAGTTTAGTAATTATTTTAATTGGGCCTTGTGTTTTGAGACCTTAGGCTATTGCCTAGTTGTCTTTGTCCCAGGACTGATTTATCTAGTAGATTTAGAACGTTAACCACGTATTTGGATCATCAGTGGATGAGTAAGCTTCCACTTGACATCCAGACCCTTCTGGGTGAAAGATCGCTCATGTTATCCTTTATTATTTGCACATGGTGCTTGTTGCATTAATTTTAGGGACCGTTATGTTTCAAAATTTCTTGGTGATAAATATCAACACATCTAGAAAGAATTGTAAATTTCTTGGTGAGAAATACAAGATCAATTTCGGTAAAAGCTTGTTCTTGTATTCTGGTAACATTTATCTTATTTCTGCAAGCTTCTGGTAATCTCATTCTCGTTCCTCTTTCTTGGTTAACATTTTTAGAAATGTGGTTAGTGTGTTTCTTTTGACAATAAACCTCCAAAACTCTTTTTCGTCTACGGTTTCCTACGAGAGATAATTCTGCAAGTTTTATGTTCTGTCATAGAGATGATTCAAGAATCTCTCATAGATAATTCTACAAGTTTTATGCTCTTGATAAAATAATATAATTCCTTTTTTATATAAGCTTTGAAATAATTCTTTGGGAATATCTATAGTCTGTATAAAAATAAATCTTATTATGTGGCTTTGTTTTATTCTTTGTTAAAGTTACTCTACTCAAGAATTTTTCTAACAAAGTAGGGGTTGAAATTTGGAATGACGAATGAGACTTTGTTATCGTGCTAGCTCGAAAATGAAGGCATTGCTTGCCCTAGCCTTAGGCAGCATAGGATGTTGCCTAGGCCCCAAATATATGAGGGCCTCTAAAAAATTAAAGCTCAACTTTATTTTTTATTTTTTATGTTTATAAAGCAAGATCAAACTTTTTTGTAATGTAAAGGTCAATTCACTTTTTTGAAGTTCTAAATAATTATTATAATAAATTTGAATATTCTTATTTAGTTAAAAAATCTATTTATTATCATTCTATGTAATTTTTTTTTAACTATTTATCGAACGTCCCATATAAATTTTGGCTGTAAGACCCTTAAAATCTAAGGATTGACCTTGGCCACACGAATAGAGGTGACCATTGGAGATCTAGAATTTAACGCGGTTTCATTGTATGCCTCCATTTGTTGCAAACTAGCGCTTTCTATTTGCAAGTACGACTATGGCTTGGACCCTTCGCATAGCACCGGGTCAAGCCAATTAGACTGAACCATAACCCATCATATCATTATAGTTTATAAGAATATTATTGACATTTATCTTTTCTAAGGAAAGATGATTTGAGTACAGCATTTTGCAAGATAGTTTTTTGATGAATGGGTTAACAGTATATCTATAAAATATATATACTGATATACGCAATCATCTACGGCATGCACAGCTTCAAAGAAATGCAAAATATGCTTCAGAGTTTCCACTGATCAAAACCTGTAAACTCTAAAATAGATAGACCCAACGCTCCACGCATTGCGTATATATAAGTGGTTTTAACTTCAGAATTCAGAGATAAAAACAGTACTCAAGACTTGAGTTAGTTTAGTTAGTTAGGGTTTTAGTTGAGTCGAAGGAAATGCCTTTATATATAATGTATCTATAGATTTTTCTTGCTGTGTAGAGAAAAACTGTAGTCTCAAAATTACTTTTCAAGAACCAAGAAGAATTCAAGATTATACGACCATTTCTTAGAGTCCTGTTTCAATGGAAGAAGGCAAAGGCAAGAATACTTTAGGAGAATCATCCGGGTCTAAACTGAACCCGAATGCCCAGCCCTTCCATCCTATAGTAGATGCACCACACGATAAAAGAACCTTGTTCATGAAATTTCTCGCTACATTCCCAACAATCTCCAAGCAAGAAATTCACGACTACTTTACAAGGTAATTATTATAGAATTAAAGACTTCTGATATTTTCCTTGATTATTGTAATGTGCAGAAAATTGCTGTAGTTACACGCATATAAAAACCTACCTATGGAATTTCCTTTTGGTTTATGACTAGGCGATTTGGGAACTGCATTGAGAGCCTTTACATACCCGGGCAAAATGTAAGGAATAGAAAGGTGGGAATCATTACATTCTCAACAACACTGTTTCCTTTTGTGATATTGGGACAATCTGAAGAGGAGATATTGTTGATCTGGGGTGAGCCGGTCATTTTCTCCCGATCCAGGTGACTCGATGGAAACAAGAATTAGAACTAGTAAAATTTTTTGGCTGATAGAATGATGTTGATTGAAAACCAATTTTGATTCTGCATTAATCCGGTTCATTTTCAAGAAATCCATATACATCACGATGGGAAATACAATCAGAACCTATAATGTATTTTTGCTGAAGGAATCAATGATGTATAAATTCTGATACTCTTGATATTTCTTTGCTAAGAGAATGATGTTTGTTTCTGGGGATTGAATTCGAAATTTGTTTCTGCTTAATGAAAGAGTTCATTTCTTTCTTACTTTGGTCATTTTTGTCTTTTTCTGTTTATTTATTAGTAATTTATTATTCAAGTTCTCTTGTAAATTGTATTGAATGGAGGAAAGAAGCAGAAGATCTCTGCATCCAGATAATATTTTGGAGTGTGGAACTGTGGATATTGTCTAAGTTTTTCTCTTCACAGTAAGTTGGTATATAAAAATTGCAGATAACTTGTCGAAAAAATGTATACACTAGTTATTTGGAGATTATGAAGAATTCGGACAATTTACTTATTTTGTTGAGAAGATTTGTCTAATTAATTAGTAAGCTTTCTCCGTTTTCTTTCTTTTAAAAATTTTCTCCATTTTTAATCATTAATAAATGGAAACATAAAGGATAAGCAAAAACAATATCCCAGGGGACATGACAAAACAAAGGAAAATTTTGTGAATTCCAGCGTACTTTGTGATGAAGATGGACATGGACTCATAGTTATTTAACTTCTTTCATTACTTCTTATTTTAGTTTAGTAACCTTGGGACTTTTAAATTTTTTAAGAATCATAAGAAATTATATTAACTAGCTCCCATAAATACTCATTAAATACCTTGTTTGAAAGCATAACTGGAAATTATAAATTCCTTTGATTATTTTGAAATATTCTATATTGAGCATGCAACAAATATTAGTGTTAACTTCCCAAAAATCTACTCACACTCATCATTCCAATGGAACTTTTACATTTCTTCTTTCTTATGGTGTCACTAGAATATCGATCTTTGAAATTTTTTATGTATTGAACCTATAGTGTCTTTCAAATTCCAGAAAAATATGAACTTCTACCACATTGTCGATCACAAGTAGTTGGTAACAATCTCACTTTCGGTGCGTTGACTTCTGTATCTTAGGCATATAATTGTTTTGTCTATTGGATCTCTAGTATAATCTTAAGAGGTTCCACATGTTCTTCACTCTTAGAATACTCTATACATGATATCCATGAAAACTTCTGGAGCATTCATCAACCTGGATGGCATAACTATATATTCAAAAGGTTAGATGTGAGTCTTAAAAGATTTATCTGGGTCAATGCTTGCCTTAATTCATCAGCTGATGATATATTGATCTCAAATCAATCTTTCCGAACACTTGAGCAGTGCGAAGGATCATATAGATCCTCAGTTTTAGGGTGTTGATATTTGTTCTTGAAGTAATAGGATTGAACTCCCTATAGTCGACATACACATTTAATGACATGTATATCAACGGTACATTTTTTTTTTTTCAATAATGCTAGTACACATTTAATTCTTTGTGGTCACTACTTAGTGCTGAGAAACCTTGACAAGATTATTTCCTTGACAAGAACTTCACTCTTATGCTAAATAATTGAATTTTTTTACTGTCCAATTGATGGAAAATCATCTCTTCGTCGAAACATCAAATGATTACATGATTTTTAGATAACCAAAACAACCCGACAATTATGTTAGTCTTTCTAACTTGGTAGTGCAAGTCTGAAGACTACGATCTTTCACGAACTTCAGACTTAGCACCACTAACTATTCGATTGGCAAAATTGTCACTAAGTTTTCTTTTCAATGAGAGGGAAACTCTAGTGGAACTTGAAGTGGTTATGTTTTTTTTTTTTTTTTGGTAACTCATTTAAGATTTCCTAAAAATAGCTGGCTAGCCTCCTCTACATGAACCTATTAGCCTCGTCTTGATAGTACTTATCGGAATCGGAACCCTAATAAACTCAATCTCTTAAAATTTTGATTCATTATGCCAATTTCTCTATAAAGTATAGGGTATAAAATTTACAAGGTAAAATTGAACATTTAAAATTTGATTCTCTATAATGCATAAACTTTAATTCATAAGTTTGAATAAAGTGCAAAAAATATAATGCTTAAACTCTTTTTCCTTTTTTAAAGTCAAGCATCAATGTTAAAATATAATTTTAACTTGTGTACCTCGATTCATAGGTTAGAGATTTAGTGTACAGAATGGTCTAAGTTTTGCTCCGATACCATGTTGTAACCACCTGTGATCTAAATGTGCGTTAACTCACTTACTAACTTACTACTTTTCTTTATATTTTGTATTTGAGGTGATGACTTCTCTTCCAATAATATATTTTTGTAATGTAATTATGTTAGGCTAAACTTTACTTAGCTAGAATGATGATGAACAAGTTTTGATACCTTAATTTCAACTTCTCATTTAGAACTCAAATACTTGCTTGTTTCATTTTTTAAAATTCTTGATTATTTGAAGTACTTCATCAATATTTGAATGATTTAGGCTTATTTCATTTTGAGAGACTGATAACAAGTTTTTGAGCTAATTAATAAACGAAGTAAAGTCCGATGGGAGATAAGATAGTACCCATGTGCTTTATGTGATCTCAAATTAAATGTTCTTATTTTAAATGCAATTCTATGTATTCCCAACTTTCATATAAATATAGAAAGTTCATACGTTGAATTATGTTTAACTTACTCGAAAGAAATGGTTAGACAATGTAGAAATATTGATAATCTACAATTTTTTAATTTATTAAAGGAATTTGAGCCTTTAAGCGGAAAAATATGGATGGAATGGAGGCCTATAACTTTTTTAACATCGAATTTTCTCCAGGATTGCTGAAAATGTATTAATTTTGCTATTCTAGTTAGAGTTTGAAGTATCTAAATTATTAACTAGATAAATTATCCCTGCGGGACGACACTCCACTTATGTTTATATTTCTCTTTATTGACACTGTACACTTGCAATTTTAAGTGAACAAGGTTTTGCCCATTTTCAGGGAAAGAGATGGGAAAAACAAGCTTAGATGGTCTTGGAATGGAAAAGGAAACAGAAAGAAGCAAAGACGAGAGTCAAACATGGAAAGTGGTGAAGAAATTTGAGTGAAGATTTATTCAAAGACATTTATAGGATATTTTAGAATTGGGTTGTAACCCAAATTCTTGTTGAGTATTTGATTGAAAATACTATTGAAGGAGTACTGGGAGTTGGTAGTAGGTTTGAAGATGTCTTAAAGGAGTTCAAGATGAATTTGACTCCTATTTCATCCAAATTTCTCCATTATTTGTTTTACCTATTATATTGGGACTTCATCTTATATTAAATTCTTTAGATATTAATTCTCTTAGTATATTAGAAATTCATTGTTCACACATATCTGTTGTACAATTGACCAATTGTTTAATTAATTATTGGTCTAAAGAGATCATATTTAACTACTTACTATTGATTATAGTAATTTTTTTGTCTCTGCCCGTGGTTTTTTGGGATTTGGATTTCTACGTAAATCTTGTTTCTTTTTGGTTTATTATTTTTATCTTGCCTATATTTTCTCGTTCTTTAATTATGTGGCCGAATTCTCAACAAAGTGGTATTTGAGTTGTTTCACTTTCAAAAAAGTGTTTTAGATTTGGTTCGGATTATAATAAGTGGTATCAGAGTGAAGGTTTTTTGGCGGGTTATTGGGAGGTCCAAATTGGATATTAAAGTCAGGTTGAAGCAAGGTCACTAGTTTAAGGGATAATAAGTATGAAATTTGAGTTTCATTTTTGGATTGCAACAAGATTTTTCATCATCGTTGAATTTTTTGTTTGGATGCTAGTGAAGAAGCAATGTAACAATTGGTTATATATTTTGGAAGGTTCGACAATCACCCTTGATGGAGCTGTAGCTTATGGTTTGATAAACGATGACTCGGATAGAGTTGGTTATGATCTGGGTGTTCGTGATGATTCAACCAATAATATTAGGGAATCTTCTAGTAACTCAAGTGGAGCTAGTTGTGATCTTGTTGATCATGTAGCTCATGGTGATTTGGATAGGTTTGACAACTCAAGTGGAGTTGGAAGTGCTCGTGGTGATTCGAGCAGTCTTGTTGACTCGGCTGGAGTTAGAGGTGAACGGGATGATTCAAGCAAAGTTGACACACAAGGTACTTCTACTAGTAAGCAGGGCTTGGATTTAGTTCACAATTACTGAATATGCTCAAAGGGACGTGGTGGAAAAGGTGAAATAATTTGATGGAGTGTTTTTGTTTGGAGATCATTTGGAGTTGAAAAGTTAAGTTTTATTCCTTGTAATGAAATTCGTGTCAAGGTGGAATTTGTTAGAATTGGATTGTGACCCAAATTTTTGTTGAGTATTTGATTGAAAATACTGTTGAAGTAGTATTGGGAGTATGTAGTAGATTTGAAGAAGTATTGAGGGAGTTGGAGAAAGATAAGGAGAATGATTTCCCTTTTTGACAGTTTTTTGACTCATATTTCATCCCAAATATTTCACTATTGATTTTACCCATTGTATTGGGACTTCATTTTATATTAAACTTTTCATGGGTGAATTCTCCTAGTATGTTAGGGATTCTTTGATTATAAATATGTGGCATACAACACATATTGGAATTTAATAATTGTTCAATTAGTTATTAGTCTAAAGAGATTCTTTGTAATTCCTTACTATTAATTTTAGTGAATTCTTTGCTTCTGCCTGTGATTTCTTGGGATTTGGATTTTTACGTAAAACTTGTTTTCTTTGTGATTCATTATTTCCATATTACTCATATTTTCTCGTTGTTTAATTATTTGATTGGATTCTCAACAAAGTGGTATTACCGTATCAGAACTATTCCGCTTTCGAATAAAAATGGTTTCATTATTTTCATATTATCCATAGGATAAATGATATATTATTGGAAAGATAATTGAAGTTGGAGTCTCAGACGTTTTGTGGATCTCAAGTTGGAGGTATGCACAAAAGTTATGCTCGTTTTCGTCGAAATTGACTGAGAACACAGCATTGGCGCTAGAGCGAAAAAGGCTGGTCCTCACGCGCAAGACTTGTTCAGCACCACGAAAGTCTAATTTTGGTAGGATTCTTTCGGGTCTTCTTGGTCACTTTGAACACAAAATATACACTCTAATTTAGTTTCTATGTATAGTAGAACCCTTGTATTTGATAAGGGTGCGATCAAATTACAAAATTTACATATAGGGTTTTGGAATTTGAAAAGGAAGAAGAATTGGAGATTAGTTCATGCTTGAAGATCCTATAACCTTCTCTTTTAATTACTATGGTGACGTTGGTCCCAACTTTTATTTGTTCATTTATTTTGAATATATGTAGCTAAACTCTTCGTAGCTAGGAATGACTATATAAAATGCACCTTTGAAACTTTTAACTAAATTTTCCATTTTTATCTTCAAATATGAGTTTTTAATTGGTTATTTATTATTGATTTTGCCACTTTCACTTATTTGGCCAATAGTTGAATTGTGTAAATATCAAGTGGTGATAGGCATATTTAGATCATAAATTCAGGCAGGGAATTTAAATGTACTGCTATAGTCTCAGTGATTTTTTTACTGATGTTCGGTTATTTTAAATGCATTTTTTACTCGTTTACAAATTTTATAAAGATATAGAAATTTTATAAGCAAAAATAGGTCTAATTCTTCTAGAGATTATTAGATAATCTGAGGACATCAATTGTCAACATAAACAAATATTGTGAATAGATAGTCACAATGCTCCACAAGTTGTGTTAATATAGAAGTGGTTCACAAGCTTCCTAATTTAACTTCAGAATTCAGATACATAAAAGCATCACAGAAAGTTTTTAACTTTCTGCAATCGACTACAGCAGATCAAGATTTGAGTTAGTTAAGTTAGTTAGGGTTTTAGTTAAGTCTAATGAAATATTTATACATAGAGAGTATGTATCGATTTTTCTTGCTGTGTAGAGGAAAACAGTAGTCTCAAAATTAATTTCGAGAACCGAGAAGAATTCAAGATTATACGAACATTTCTTCAAATCTTTTTTCTATGGATGAAGGCAAGAATACTGTAAGAGAGTCATCCGGGTCTAAACTGAACCTGTATACCAAGCCCTTTAGAACTCCAGCAAATGTACCAGCTTTTGAAAGAACCTTGATCGATCACGATAGAACCTTGTTCCTGAAATTTTTCACTGGATTCCCACCAATCTCCATGGAAGAAATTCAATACTACTTTACAAGGTAATTAGTATTATAGAATTAAAGACTTCTGGTCTATTCCTTGACTATTGTAATATGTAGAAAATTGCTGTAATATATAAACCTACTTATGGAATTTCCTTTTGGTTTATGACTAGGCGATTTGGGAACTGCATAGAGAGTCTTGACTTACCCGGGAGAAATGAAAGAGATTCAGAGTTGGGAATCATTACATTCTCTACATCACAGTTTCGTTATGAGTTAATGGGACAATCGGAAGAGGTGATGTTGTTTATCTGCAGTAAGCCGGTCCATTTCATGAGATCAAGGAGCCTTGATGGAAACAACAATCAGAACAAGTAACATTTTTTGGCTGATTGTTGAATTCCATATTTGTTTCTGTGTCAATCGGGTTCATTTTCAAGAAATCCAGACATCCCGAAGGGAACAACAATCAGAACCTACAATGTCTTTTGCTTATAGGATCAATGATGATACATTTTTAAAATTCTTGATATTTCTTTGCTTCTTTTTATTGAATTCGAAATTTGTTTCATACTTTGTGATGAAGATGGACTCATTTAATTGCTTCGTTACTTCTTATTTCAGTTCAGTAAACTTGGGACTTGTAAATTTTTTAATAGTTTGGGTTCATTTACAGTCCCATTAAAATTTAGGATTTGCAGGGTGTGTCCTTCAAGCGAGGAGCTATAGAGCTCATTATTGACTTCTTGGTTTTGAGATAGGCCCTGCTTGACAATCATTTTTACAAATTTATTTTCAATCACATTTCTCGTAATAAATTATATTGTATGTAAATTCAAGATTTTCATACTTTTTAACCGCACATTATCCAAAAAATGGCTATTTCAAAACTCATTTTTCTCCAAAAAATTCGTTATAATGGTTGTTAAATGGTGGCTTAATAAGATTTTGTTTAATCTCAGTTTTAGCCCCTTTTGTGAAAATAGGTTTTGTAATTTTTATTTTTATTTTTAAATATGAGAAAAATTTTAAATTTACGTGCAAAATGTTGGAAGAATGTGATTGAAAATAAATTTGTTAAAAATAAATTTTTAGAGAATGAGGCTCAAACAGTAATTTAATTTTTTCAAAAAAAATATCACAACAATTTCATATATTCTAATGATATGTCTATCAATATGGACCCTTAGTTATTCAGTATCATGTTTTAGTTTATATCTAATTTCTTAAAAGCAATATTTAAAAAAAAATACATGTTTGTTTAGTCCCTCAGATTAAGTTTTTGTACACTATTGGTCCTTCCAGCTTTAAATCATCCCAATAGGTCCCAATTATTTCTAGCTTGTTCCTCCATCTTCCCAACTCATTTTGTTTTGGTCTTTCAAGTTTCAACTTCAATTTTCTTCAAATCTGATCCTTCAAAGTGTTGAGAATGTTCAAGTTGATCCCCAAACTTCTCCAAATGTCGAATTTGGGCTCAAAACTTGTGAGTTCATATATTTAATACTTTCAAGCTTCGAATCAAATCCAAGCTTTCTGGTAGCTTCTCGATTTCACCATTAAAGCTTGAAGCTCCGATATATATGCAAGTTTAGTCATATAGATAAAGGGTGTGAAATAAACTTATCACTACTTCAGAAAAACAATTTTCCAACCATGGATATCAAATCCCTCAACCAATTATTAGCGTCTCTTTTTTCTTACATGGGCTATTTGATCCTCTCATGAAAAATTTTCAATAACTTAAACTGTCAATTAAACTATATCTTGTCCAAAATAATTTACGCACGATGACTTCATACTAAAAGATCAACTTGCCATTTTCACTATTTTAAATTTTATAGTCAGTCATTCTTGTAGTTGTCTGGTTATTATTGTATAAGTAAACGATAATAATGATAGTTATTTCTTGTGATTTCCTCATAGTTCTAATACAAATGCTCGAGTATCTAAATAGTGTGTTATAAAATTAGCTTGGCATTCATTAGCTTTGTAAAAAAAAAAAAAAATTCAGAAGTTTGATGTGAACTTCTAAAATCAAATCAATGCCATGAAAACTAATAATACATATGGTCTATAATTCTCTTGAACATATATCTGAGCCAAATGATCCACAGAGAAATTCAGCCTCACTAGTAAAATGTGAGCTTAGTCATTCTATCAATTATGACCCAAAATAGCATTGTGTCCACGACAATATCCATTGAAATATGATCCTATCTCCATACTCAAATATCTTGAATGTCATGGATGCTTTGTTTCACTTGTTGACACATTAGATGCTTCTTAACAAACTTAGCTATGTTTATCTCAAGTTCGTCCATCGAAACAACCCTTTCAAATTCTTATACCTTGATCCCAGGAACTGCAAATTACGGGACTGTTGATGGGTAGTGATAAGTTTAGTTTCCTTTACACAGAGAATAAATACAAACTTAAGTGTACTATCTTTACATGGAAAATGTCATTTTTCCACTCAACTTCTTATTTTTTTGCTGTTTTGATTATTTTTTTCCACGAAAAAATATTTTCCTACTTTTAGTTACGTGATCATATTTTTTCTTGAAAACAAGGAAAATATTTTCTTAAGGTAGAGTTGGTTTTTTATTTTCCAGGTAATTCATTAACTCTTTTTCTCTCATCTATTCCCTCTCTCCTCCATCTACCTACCAATAAAAATAGACAAATATAATATTTTCAAGGTTGAAAATAAAATTAATCAAACACATTTATGATAATTTCCATGCATATAATTTCAAGGTAATTCAATTGGCTAGAATTTAATTTTTTCTATGTCAATTATATATATATATTGAAAGTTTAAAACTTGAGGGAGATTATTGTAATAGAAAATAGAAGTTTTAAATTTTCAAAATTATAAACTATTTTATTTTTCAGTTTTCTTTTTATTTTCAGTTTTAACACATAATCAAAATTAATAATTTTATACTGTAAGATATTTTTTATTTTGTGGGGGTTGATTTTACATTTATTTCATTGGAAAAAATAACATTGAAAACACAACTTGATAGAATACTTTCTGCATTTTCATATTATATTTTAGTACTTTGACAATTCGATAAAAGTTTGCTCTTTATTCTATGTGGTCATGCCCATCGAACGAGAACCAGCTATGAGTTATATGAGTTTTATCATGGAGTAGTGTAGTATTGAAAGGGAGGCCACACGATTTTAGGATAATATCCTTGACGCGACTCTCTAATATTTGCTTTATAATTTTCTTCTTATGTTTTATATTAATTTAAATTTATTGTGTTAATTGAAATTGTATATATACATAAATTAGTCGTTATTTACCCAAAAATTCTTTCCAGTGACAATTGAAGATTCGGGACGGATTCTACTTTTCTCTATCTTTCCTATTCAAGGTGACGGCTTCTCTTCCATTTATTTGTGTTTGTAATTTAATAGTGTCCGACTAAACTTCACATAGCTTGATTTCAATTTCTTGTCTAGAATTCAAATATTTTTGTTTGATATTTTTAAATTCTCAATCCTTTGGAGTACTTTATCAATATTGAATGATTTATGGCTTATTTTGATTTTGAAAAATTTAAAATAGGTTTTGAGCCAATTAATAAACAACTTAAAGTTTGATATATAGTGCCTACAGGCTTTATGTGATCTCAAATTAAAATTAAATATTATTAATTTAAATATGATTCTATTTGTTTCCAACTTTCATAAAAATATAGGAAGTTTATACGTTGTATTAGGATTAATTTTAAACGTTGGACAAAGTAGAAACATAATTTATTCAAATTTATACTGGTGTATTACGGGAATTTGAGATTTAAGAGTGGAAAATTAGGACCGTGCCCCTTGAACAACCCCCTGTACAACCACGGGATTGTGTGGCCACCCCCACACAAATTGGGGGGCCCTATTATTTGGGGGAGGGCCTACCTATAATAGGGGCTTGTTCGAGGAGCTTTACTCGGAAAATAATATGTGGAATCGAAGTCCTATCACGTTTACAACATTGAATTTCATGAGCAGACCCATATGGGTTCAAATGACCCAACAAATTTTTTTATTTTTTTTTATTTTTGTTTTTTTTTTCCAAGAAATGGTGTTTTCACCCTTTTACGACATATTTTGACATAATCATTACGGAATGCCAAATGAAATTGAAATATTGCATTCTAAATACCACTTTGAAGTATTCATGGTCTAGTTTTTTGCTTGTTAATAATGGCGTACAAAACAATCAATTGTAGCAAAAGTTACAGCACATCAAAATAGGTCGTTCCAAACTAATATTTCAATAATATACTAATTTTCAAAATTCGTCGATGATCGTATATTATCTGAATCCACAAATCACCTATGTTATCTAGAAGCTAATTTCGAGAACTACATCGTAGTCATATTGAATTGTCAAACTAGATATCGAAAATAGTTAAATATGTGTCAAACGTACGCTTTAAAAGAGTCGTTCAACTCATCTTTTCTTTTCTTTAAAAAAATATAAATTATTTCATTAACATTTATAATTTTTGCACGATAAAATTTTCAATATAATTTACATTATTTTATTAGGAAATTTTACATTGCATATAACATAATAAATTTTAGGATCATTACAAGTTAAATATAATTTGAATTACTTTCGAATTACTTTTACATTAAATTAAAATTTCATTTATTTCCTATATTAAATATGAATTTTATTTCAATTCATTTACTTGCTATATTCAATTTGATTTACTTGCTGTCAACTCAACATCTGTCAATAAAATGGTAAACAAAACTATACAAATAGTAAAATTCATATAATAATATTGATAATGATATAATTATTTTCATTAATATTATATTTTTTTAAAAATTACACTTTAAATTTTGACCCCCCACAGTACAAAAAGTCTGGAGCAGCCCTTGTTGAATATTATTGCTGAAAATGTTTTAAAAAGCTTCTTTTCTTAATTTTAATAATTCTTGGTTCAATTAGAATCAAACTCCAAATTTGGCTGTTCTAGTAGAGTTTGAAGTATTTAAATTATTAACTAGATAAATTATATATGTTCGTGGGAAGATACTCAACTTATTTCTATGTTACTCTTTTTTGACACTATACAGTTGCACTTTTAAGTGAACCGGGTTTTGTAGCCATTGCCACGGAAAACAGATGGGAAAAGCAAGCTTTGAGGTATTGGAAGGAAAAGGAAAGAGAAGGAAGCATAGACAGGAATCAAATACGTGAAATGGGCTAAGATTTCTGATGGGGAATTTAAATGTACCACTATAATCCATACAAATTTTTATTGTTTTGTTATTTTAAATGCATTTTTACTTATTCACAACTTTCAAAAAAATATAGAAAGTTCATAGGCAAAAATAGATCTAATCCTACTCAAGAAATTGATAGATAATTTGAATACATCAATTAAACGAATATTGAGGTTAGAAAAGTGTAGGTAACATCGAAACTCTAGTGTCATTTTCATATTCGAAAAACTTTTCCGAATTTTCAACATGCCTTTTAGTTAGAAAAATCAATTACAACGAACTTCTGATATAATTTTGTTAAGGCTAGATTTAATTAATTATAGACTATCGTTTCCACGAAACTCAACTCATGAGTTATTACTTGTCCATAATACTATATACTTGCGGATTTGAAGCAACTATATTCAAAACCACTAAATTTTTTTTTTTTTTATTGCATGACATATGTTGAAAAAATAGAGTCTAAACATTCTTGGGTTTAAGTAATTATGTTTGGTTTTGTTAATTTAAATCTAAATTCTAAATCCTGCAACGTACAAGAATAGAGTAGCAGCATATGATATGTTACTCCTAGAGGAAACAAACACCCTAAGTTAAAGGGTTAGTGGCCATTGATCTCCCACTAGATCATCTGTCCACGTGGCTTCATTATATGCCTCCATCTATTTCAAACTCGCGCTTTCCATATTTGAAAGTGCGGCCATGGCTCAGAGCCTTTGCATAACACCTGGCCAAGCCAGTAAGAATGAAGAAAGATGATTGGTGTACAGAATTTTGCAAGATATTTTTTTGATAAATGTATTAACAATATATTTATTGAAAACATATACACATTTTATGAAGTCCAAATAATTATGGAATGCATAGCTTCAAAGAAATGTAAACTCTAAATCGATAGACCCAATGCTCTACATTGTGTTAGTCTGCAAGTGCAATCTTCTCAAGGATTTAACTTTCTGCAATCGACTACAGCAGATCAAGACTTAGTTAAGTTAGTTAGGGTTTTAGTTAAGTCTGATGAATTGTTTATATATAGAGAGTATGTATCGATTTCTCTTGCTGTGTAGAGAAAAAAAATAGTCACAAAATTACTCTTCGAGAACCAAGAAGAATTCAAGATTATACAAACATTTCTCGAATCTTGTTTCTATGGATAAAGGCGAAAATATTGTAGGAGAATCATCCGGGTCTAAACTGAACCCGAATGCCAAGCCATTTAGAACTCCAGCAAATGTAGCACGGTTTGAAAGAACCCCGGTCGATCGTGATAGAACGTTGCTCATGAAATTTTCCACTGATTTCCCACCATTCTCTCAGCAAGAAATTCACAACTACTTTACAGAGTACGTAATTAGTAGAATAGAATTAAAGGCTTCTGGTTTATTCCTTGATTAATGTAATGTGCAGAGAATCACATGCATAAAAACCTACTTACGGAATTATTATTTTTTGGTTTATGACTAGGCGATTTGGGAACAACTGCATTGAGAGCCTTTACGTACCCGGGCGAGATGAAAGAGATTCAGAGTTGGGAATTATTACATTCTCAAGACCACAGATTGCTTTCGTGATAATGGGACGATGGGAAGAGGTGGTGTTGTTTATCTGCACCAGGCCGGTTCATTTCAAGAGATCCTGGCGCCTTCTTGAGTAAACAATCAGAATAAGTAACATTTTTTGGCTGATAGATTGATGTTGATTCAATTCCTAATTTGTTTCTGTACTAATCCGGTTCATTTTCAAGAAATCCAGACATCCCGATGGGAACAATGACCAGAACCTATAATGTCTTTTACCTGATAGAATCAATGATGTGTACAATTCTAATATTCTTGATATTTCTTTGCTGATAGAATGATGTTTGTTTCGGTAGATTGAATTCGAAATTCGTTTCTGCTTAGTGAAAGAGTTCATTTCTTCCTCTCTTTGGTCATTTTTTCCTTTTCTTTTTTCTTTTTGCTGATAGAATGATGTTTTTTCTGTTGATTGAACTGATCCTTCTCTTCAAGCATTCCGACTTTCTTTGAAACCAGCTCTAGGCTCTAGCCCATAGGTGTGTAACCCTCCAAAAGAGACCTAAATCTTTGCCTGAGGATATATATTTGTTTCTTGCTGGTCAAGAAAATCAAGATGTGTGTGCTAAGATAAGAACTTTATGCAAGAACCTCAAGTTATCAATGGCATAAAAGTGTGTTAATTATTTAGTCATAAAGTCGATACTTTGATTTTTAACAAAACTTACTATTTCTCGTTCTCCACCAAAATTCTCATATAATGTTAAAGATTAATTGTGCATCAATTGCAACTCCGGTGTTAATTTCCTTGATATAATCCAACTACAAAAGAGTAATTGTCGAATTAATTTTATCACCAAAGTGAAATCAAGTAATCCATCGCCACTATCTCTTTTGGTCATTCCTCTAAACCAACGCACATTTTGCACATTACCCTACTCAATGTTGATAGAAAATAGTCATCAACAACAGTTGTATCTATTAAGGTCCCCGTATGTTTCCCATTTTGATTGCACATTTTAACAGCCTTTTTTATTGTTGCCAATCAAACAACCTTTTTTGCATTCCCTATCTCCCACTGGGATCCACTTGTAGGATTGCAACAGTCCGAAAATTCATTCTCAAATTGAAGAATCAGATGCAGACAGGCGCTAAATGATTCATTCAAAAATCAAACTACGATTCAAAATTTATCCTAATTAATTTGACATTGTATCTTTAATACATATTGCAAAACTTACATTTTCTTGTTAAAACATTTCCTATTTTCACAATCTCATCCTGAATTTTGTAGTACATGTAGTGTTAAAGGTGAACTTGAATCCAACATGATAATTTTAGGGGCCAAGTCATGTTTTAACCCTTACCATTCTCATCATTAAGTCGCACTTGAAAAGCCAAAATAGTTAAGTCTCCGTAGCCATTATTCTCCCACAATATTCTTGACTTCATTCATCGAAACAAATATGTTCAATAAGATCAAATAATTCGACCAAATTGTTTTATATAGTTACCAAATTATACATCTGCATGTTGGATATCTTGGCTTTGTTAATTTTGTTTCTAAAATTTTCTCTGTATACTCGATGGTCAACCCTGCTCAACAGCTAGGGTGAGGGTTCCCCTTATTAATCTAAGATCTAAACTGTACAACAAATATAATAAAAGAACTTTATAGAAAACTCTAAAACCACTGCATCTAGTTTCGATCTTTCATAGGCTCAGACCATAAACCTCTAAGGCTCAACCATATACCCTCACAATCCTAACTTAAGAATTGCTACAATGGAACACGAAATGGACAGACCACTTCACAGCAATTTACTCACACAGAGAGTACTCAGACAAGGACTCGATTATCACAAAGATAATCACTAGATAATCTCACAAAGAGAAGATGAAAAAATCACAGAGACAAAAAGCCCTTGAAAGTTCTAGAAAGAGACAACTCACAGAAAAAGAAGAAAAAATGACGATTCAGTCTCTAGGTTAAAACAAAGGGTCATATTTATAGTTAAAACTATCAATTATTGATCAGTGGGTTAATCCAACGGTTCAAGAGTGACTAAGAATTGACTGAATTATTGGGCTTGGTCAAGTGGATCATCTCATTCTATATTGGACTTTTTTTATCATCACAGCCTATATTGGACAACACCTTGGCATCACAGCCCAACACCCCTATTTTTGGCCATGAAATTCATCCCGATCAAATAGGTTAATTCTTCGATGGTTGTCTTAGTTTTGAAATCTTCTTCAAGAAATAGAACAATTGGAGTGACAGGGGTGGCTAGGCAACTAGATAGACCATAGCAAAAGCAGAAGAAACAAAGTAACCTGGTCAAAGAACGTAGAATTGGTTAAACGAATATTTCAGATCTATTTTTGTGTTTCAAAAATAAAGTTTAACTTTCTGACAAGTTAAGCCAAACATGGCCGAAAGAATGCCAAGTGGACACTGCGTTGGTATACCGCCAACTCCTACTTTTCTTGATAAGATCCTTGTGTTTCTTTCGAAGAATATATGCGGGAAGTTGGAGGGCGTTTAATTTGTTGTTTTGAGGCAATTTTCAGCTTTTAATTTTTTAAAACACTCAAAATGTATTTAATACATTATTTTTAAAAATACGTTTTCGAAAATAAGAAAAATTTTACAACGACTTTTTGATATTTTAAGTGTTTTCAATAAAATAAAAAAAAAATACTCAAAAAACTCAAATCAAGAAAAATGAATTTAAAAATTTTTCAAATTAAAATAATTAAAAAAATCACACAAATCTATCCAAATACAACTACCAATCTCTGAATCTTTCTCTCTCGCTCTCAATCAATTTATTATCTAAGGAAATTTTTATGCGATCATTGGATGTATACTTACAATGATTCTTTTTTTATCAACTTTAAAATTTATGTTTTTTGCTCACATATTAGCATAAAATTGATATATTTTAGTAAATAATCAAATTAATTGAAAAAAATATCATAAAACTATTTCTAAAAGTTTTAAACCAAGAGCGTTTTCTAGTTTTTTGTTTTGAGAAATAATTTTTAAGAATGACAAATTAAATACATTTTCTGTAATCTTTAAATGATCCCTTAAAAAAATGAACATAAAACTGAAAAAACACAAACCAAATGCGCCCTTACTATTTGCATAACATTGATGGGAATTCGCTCCTTTTCTTTTTCTTTTTTTATTATCACGTCTCTATTTGGTGAGAATTAAAATTAGATTTTTGGTAAATTTTAATAAAAGTTAATAAAATATGTGATTGAAAATTTATGATCCATAAAATGAAAATCAGTTATTGACTTAAACTTAAATTAAACCTCTGTCTAACAATTATTATTTCAAATTCTTTATTCTACATACTCATTTTCAGTTATATACTTATAAAATAAAATATTTTAGAATAAATTCATAATTTTCTTTACTTTTCAATCACACATACTCCAAAATTTACTATTCAAACTTTATTTTTATCGAATAATGACCATCAAGTAAGTGCTTAAATTTTAATTTTAATTTTAATTTCATCAAACAAGTACACAATTTTGGTAATTGATTATTTTAGTCAAAAACATAATGATAATAAAAAGTCATCGAAGACGCGCGTTTGCAGGGAAAACTCACCTCTCCAACGAGTAGTAAGTAGATTGTTACTCCAGCTCATCTTCTAGAAGCTGTAGCAAAACCCCCTTTTTAAACTCGTGGGAGCAATCAACAAATGGGGGGCCACCCTCACACTATAAATACCTTCAATTTTCTGCAATACGACACCTTTCTTCTTCCTTATCTCGGGAAAATGGACTCGTCAAATGAAGACCAGATACAGCCACATTTCATCCAAAACGTCGTCGTTATGCGACATGGCGACAGGATCGACAGCTTCGAGCCTCTGTGGCCGTCCACGGCGGCGCGTCCTTGGGATCCTCCGCTGGTGGACGCCGGAAAGGTCCGGGCATTCTACACGGGCCGCAAGTTTCGGAACCAGCTCGGGTTTCCGATCCACCGGGTCTTCGTCTCCCCCTTCCTACGCTGCCTGCAAACCGCCTCCGAAGTGGTGTCTGCCCTCTGCGCCGTCGCTGATCAACATGATGATCCCAATGACATGTCCTCCCATGGCGTCGAAATCGATCCCTCCAAAATCAAGGTCAGTTCACGAGCTAAAAGATTGAGCTGTAAAAAATCGACCGATGTGTTCATTTAAATATTGTCATTTAACATCTAGTGACAAGTTGTTTACACCTGCTTAATTAATATATCAATTTTTGCGTATTGTGTAATTTGAAAATGTCTTCCTTAAAATGTTTTCTTTATGTTCATTCTTGTGAGATTGCTGATCTTTGGCAGATCGTGTCTTGATTAATTGTATGTACAATTTTTGACCTATAGACAATTATTCACATATATATTGCGTGTTAGATTCACCCTTTTTCATGTGCTTGGATGATATTTGGAAAATTATTTGTCTAATGCTGTGACTTATTTTGCCTATCATGATAGTATATATATGTATAAATCCCAGTTATGGTTCTATAAACTTCTCCTGGATCATTATGGGAATTACATCGAGAACTTCTTAAGAAAGAATGCTAATGAGTTTATGTTAGAACCATTTTATAACTTTGCTGATAAATATAAATTTGGAATGGTTAGATTTCACAAAGTTCTGTCAAGTCAGATTTATTGGTTTTTCAATGTAAAAGAATGTTCTCACATTTCAGAATGCACCTCAGAACCTAATTTGGGAATAGAAAATTCTACAGCGACCATTTTCATGGAAAGAGAATTTGACTTATCTTATAATCTCTTAACCAATCAAAACATGTTGATTTTCATGGAAATATGAGGTTTTGCTAACAACTTCCTCAATTGCAGTTGGCGTGTGGTTATTGTACGTAAATGAATTGATATTGCAGGATTCCAGAACATTATATAGATAGTTGAGAAGTCATGATTACTGAAAGCAAAAAAGTTTTATGTCAGTCAACCACAAGAAATAAGAAGATAAAATAATTACTGAAAGTAACTTGCCTCTTCCGCTTAACATCTAGTACTTGATGAGTAGTAAGAAAGTAATTACAGAACTTGAGTTGCCTCCTTGGCCTAACAACTAGTGCTTGGTGAGTAAGAAGAAAGTAATTATATGTACTTATTCCTAAAAATGAAGGCAAATGTGAAGCAATGGATGTAATTTTAGCCAACACTGTTCGACCACATATGTTTGCATTCTGCATAGCTTTGTGGATATGAGGTTCCAATGCATTTGTCTTCTGGCTTTCTGTGATAAAGCAGATTATACCTTCTTGGAACTTTTATTATCATATCTGGGGAGATAATAATGAAGTCGATTAAGAAGCTTCTAGATTAAGGTAATTAATAACATTTTATTAGAAGTGCTTTATTTTCGACTTATGAGCATTCTACTTTTCGACTAGGGAAATAAATTTCATCTTTTCACTAGACTCGTAACATTTGAACAAGGGAGAGGAAGTGAGATAATTTATCACTTCTTGATGATGCTAATGTTCACAGGTGACTATCACTTCTTTGGTAAAAAAATTCAATATCATTGGTGCTGATAAAAATAAAAATGAAATGGACAATCTATGGTGCTATCAATCTTGAGCTTTACATCTCGAGTACTAAGAAAAATTTATGGCCCTATTTAGTATTGATTTAAATCAGATTTTAATCTAAGGGTATGTTTGAGCCACATTCTTTTTAAAGAATATATTTGGAATAGTAGATTAATGGAGAATGTGTGGTTAAAAAAGAATGAAAGTTTTTTATTTGTGTGTAATATTATTTTAATGAAGAATATGTGGTTGAAAATAATTGAAGAAAAATGTGTTTTGGGGAAAAATGGGAATCAAACACCCCCTAAGTCAAAGTCACACAATCAATTTTAACAACATAATTCATAGGTCCCACAACTTTTCAACCACAGATTTCAAAAACTTTTATCAAAATCTACTAAAAATCTAATCTTAATTCCCACCAGGCAAGGGCTATATCTGTATGGAAAGTATCCACTTGCAAGTTGCGGGCATCAAGTGTAGTTAATTTGATTTTTAGTATCAGCTCATAAGTGGTCAGATTTGACCTGTTTGTAGGGCTATCAATTGGAATGATGGTCTTTAGAATTTCACTTGCTTCTGCTTATCAGACTCTTGTGAATTGCGAAGAAGATGCTGAACAACAAAAAACTATAACAAAATGTGTATTAGGGTTCATATCATAAGAGTTGGCAAAGGTTTAAGCTACCTGTTAACCTTGTCCTCTTTTGCCCAGGCTTGAGGCTGACCATACAAAAGATGCTAAACATCAGTGCGAATATAGATTCTAATCTCTGAAATTTTCTGTGCATTTTCTTTCTGTTCGTTATAGATTCAAAAGATTGATTCTGGATTTATGTATGTCTCCTTTTATAATCAATTCCAACAAATGCTGTCACCGTATCGACTCAAAGCCTTCATCACATTTTTCAGGCCTCAATTGAATATGGATTATGTGAGATGCTGAATCCACGAGCCATAAGACTTGACGTGGCTCCTGAAGATGGTGATTTCGGTTTTAATATCTTTCAGTGTGAATCTGTATTACCTGCTGGAACTATTGATCATACTGTAGAACAAGTGTACAAGGAGGTATCAAACACTGAGAACATGTGAAATGTGAAATTTTCAAAACGTCTTTGCCTACACTAGTCTCAATTTTTCTGTGCTGAAACTGTCTTTTACCTACAGATGCCTCAATGGCAAGAGACAGTGGAAGGTGCTAGGGCTAGATATCCAGAGGTTATGAAGGCTCTTGCTGACAAATATCCTTCAGAGAACTTGTTATTGGTGACACACGGTAAGTTTCTTGCTTGGCAGTGCTTAATAATCACAAACTTGAATATAAAAGGTTTTCCTAATATGCTAGCCATATATATCAGAAATATGCATCTAGACATTGTTATTTACAGCATTTTCTCAGATGGGCTGCAATAATGATATTTTATATCTGAATACCTTTGGTTTCTAGAGGAAGAAAGAAAATTTAACCCCCCCCCCCCCCCCCCCCAAAAAAAAAAAAAACAAAAAACAAAAAATAAAAAAATAATAATATCCATAATCTACTCCCCATTTAATGCAAATCATAGGGCAAAAAGACATTGTATGAATGGAAATACAGCTAACTACAGCAGCTATTTTTCCACACTGCCCTCCAAATTGGTTCAAAAATATATATCATTCCCAGCTCCAGCTTGCTATCAGATGAATAGAAAATGGGTCTTGATAGCACTTTGGTAAGAACAGCAGCTAATTATTTTTCTGCTAGAAACAAATGAAATACAAATTTGTTACTTTGAATCTTCTTTTTGATAAAAGCGTTTATCAAATTCAACAAACTTGGTGCAATAATACCAAACAGGATTGTGAGCAATGCTGATTGCAGCTTTGTTTTCACACTAGAGCTTCATTCTATCTCTTGAACAATTTGTAGTTCTTTTAACAATATCTTTAACCACAATAACTAACATATTACTTGAGCCATTGCTCTTAATTTAGCTTTAGCACTTGATCTCGCCACCACATTTTGCTTCTTCTCCAAGTAACTAAACTTCGACCTATAAATGTACAATAACCAGAGATAGACCTAGTGTCAATCATAGAAGCAGCCTAATCACCATTTGTATAAGCTTCAACTTGAAGATAATGATTCTTTGAGAAGAGTAAACCTTTGCTCAGAGAATTTTTCAAGTATCGTATAATTTTCAAAACAGCCTTTATGTGAATTTCACAAGGAGAATGTATAAATTGACTTAACAAACTAACTTCAAATGCAATGTCAGGTCTAATATGAGACGAGTATATCAAATTACCAACCAATCTTTGATGTCAACCTTTATTAACTACATAACTATTGGCAGTGGCTGCTAAATTATGATTAGGATCAATTGGTGTATTTCATGATTTGCAACCTAATTGCTTTGAAAAGATCTAGAAAATACTTCCTTTGACAGAAATATTCCTTTACTTGACCCTCCCACATTAATTCCCAAAATAATATGTTGAAGTTCCCAAATCTTTAATTTCAAACTCTTAAGCCGGCATGCGCTCGAGTATTCTTATTTTACCATCATTTTTGGTGACAATAAATCATCAATGTAGACAATGAGGACCACAATTTTTTTTTCAATGTGTTTAGAGAATACAGTTCAGTCGCCTTGACTCTATGCCCCCCTTTGGCCCTCATTTTTTGAAATGAAAATGGGTGAAATAGCTTTTTTTTTTTTTTTTGAAAAATGAGGGGTTAAAAAGAAGGAGAAATTTTCGATTTACATGTAATTTTATTTTATGGAAGATAATGTGGTTAAAAATAGGGGAAAAATGAAATAGAATTTAATAGGGGCCAAACAAGGGCTATGTATACTATTCAGAGATATCGATGAACTACTTTAGTAAATCTTTCAAACTAAGCTCTAGATGACTGTTTTAGTTTATACGAGGATTTTATTAGTGTGCGCACTTTTTTGCTATCAAAGGTATCTACACTTCCACTTCTAGATTACAATGAAGGAATGCATTTTTACCATCAAGCTATTCAAGACGCCAATTTAGATTAGCCGAAAGGGAAAACTTTGATGAAGTTCATTTTTGCTACCGGAGCGAAAGTTTCTACTTCATCCCGTAAGTTTGTGTAAACTCATATGCCACAAGTATTACCTTATGTGTCAATTGTCCCATCAGTTTTAAGCTTTATTAGCCTTTTCCACTTTAGAATAACTAGAGCGTCGTGTATATTTCTTGGAACAGAAATACAGGAAGACTAGTAGTAAATTCTTTAAATGAAGGTGACAATTCATGTTACTAAACAATTCAAAAATAGGATCCAATTTGCAAGATCTAAACCTTTTCAATGAGCAATTGGGTCATCAAGATCAAAATTTATGATGCTTGGACTCGGGTATGGATATTGAGTACGGGTACGTATCTAAGTGTCGGATATTTTATTTTCTAAAATATAGGATACGGGGATATGGTTAAAAAGAGTCTAAATTTTGGACACGGGTATGTGGGTACGTCTTTCAAACTTCAATTTTTTACTAACTCAAGATGTTATTTTGAATAGACCAAAATCAATTGTTCACAAAGAAGGAAATAGTATTGAATAAGAGATTAAGATGAATAAAATAAAATTTTGGGGTTTAGTTTTCAATTATGAGAAGTTAATTACTAAATGTTATATAAAATAGAAAATGAGGGACTTGATTGCAATTTGGATTTAATGGAGCATTAAGTAGTATTATATGGAACTCAATTTCAATTTATACAAGCAAAACCTTAAGCCACCGATACAAAGAGAGAAGGGAAAAAAAAAAAGAAGAAAAGAGAAGGGTAGGGAAAGGAAAAAGAAAGAAGAAGGGAAAATCTAGCGTCGTCGCCTTTCTCCAACCTCTCAGAGGTGGCGCAAGGTTTATAAAGAGTAGAAAAGGAAAAGAAAAAAGAAAGAAAAAGCAAAAAAGGGCGAAGTGTCTGGTTGAAATTCGGCGGATCCGACACATATCCTAACCCATACCCATGTCATGTCGTATCCGACACAGGTACTCCAACCATTTTGAAGAGTCCGAGCATTAGAGATCAAAATGCATAGAAAGATTACCCATGTTGTACTAAGTAATAGAATGTCCTAAAAGCACATCGAGGACTCCTAGGATCTAACTTTTCCCGATTATGGCTATGTACATGAATAAAGCTACACAATCGAAATTAAAAATTTGGATGAGAGATCTGTAAAAATGTTAGGATAGGTATTTAGCAGTAAGAACAGCTTTTTCCCATAAAGTATGTGTAGAAAAAGAACTTAAGTATGTATGGGATAGATTTCTTGAACCAATAGATTCACTAAAATCAGTCTCCTTTCCATGTTGATAATGTTCCTGGTATGCAGGTTTTGAAATTTACAATAAGTAGAAAAAAAACATAGCGACACAATTAAGACTTTTAGTGATTTTGCTAATTGACAGAAGGTTGCAAGACAATTTTGGAACATGTAGTGTGTAGTATGGCAAAAGAGATTTTAAAATAGGAATACACCATTTTCCCGCAATAGATGAGAGTGAACCACGTGATCTGTTGGAACTAAGGAACAAACAAATTTGAGTGGCTAGTCATGTGATCTGTGGTTCCTGAATCAATGACCCGAGAATTACATGTAAAGCTAGTGGCGTTTAATCAAGTCAAGTGAGCAAGTGCACAAATGGATGAGATATTGCCAATTTGAAACTAATAAAAGAGGAAGCACAATTGGGTTAAAAGGTGATTTATAAATAATTTGACAGCCAAGAATTCAATTGTATTGGAACTATCTGAAATAGGATTGAAAGATGCAAGAAATGGTCTAAATTGGTGTAGAATGGCCAGAAAAAAGAAGAAACGAGCATTGAACAAGTATAAATCTACCCAAAAAATGATTGAACTTGATTAACAAACATCTGAACAAGCCTCGAAGACATTTTAACTGGGCTGAAAATAGGGTGAAACGGACTTAAAATTGCTTAACCAGCCTGATAAGAGACTGAACTGCTTTGAGATGTGCTGAACTGCTTTGAAAGTAGGCTATTCCCCCACCTCAAAATCAGCTGAATTGCTCTGGAATTTCATGTTTATATAGTTTCTAAACCATTTTTCTCCAATTAAAAACACAAAGAATAGGATTTCGGCATAAATCAGCTGCCAAGAAGATAAAAATTCCAAAAATTTGAGCTGGAATACAAATTAGCATGTGGCCTGCTCTAATACCTTATTAAAGCTTGAGGTTCTATCTTATAAAGTCAACCTTGTTAAAAGAGTAGCCTAAGCCCCCATATATTGTACATATTATATCATTATTCCACGTGAGATTATTTAACGTATTCCTACAAGATGGTGGCTCATTTGAGGATGTCAGTATTGAAATTCATGCGCTCGTTTAAGTCTTAGTTAGGATGAATTGCTTGTTGGAGCTAAATGAGCTTCAGTACTATATGGTAAAAAAAAAAAAAGGAGAAATAATTTCTTGCTTCTTTGGTTTGTCAATTTTTACAAGGTTCAAACACATTGCTATACAATTATAAAAGGAAAGAAATAAATGGTCTAATCTATAGCTATACAATCCCCATAAATCTATCTATTCTATTGCTAAACCCTCCCCATGGATACTTCATAATCTATTCCATATTTAATGCACAATCATTGACCAAACCAGATTCTGCGAATGTGGACAGATTTTATGAGTGGAAATACAGCTAATTACAGCTATTTTTCCATAGTCTCAGTATAAATTGTTTTCATGTTTTCTTCTCACAGAGGATGCACATTGTTATAATACATCTTCAAGTTATGCTAAAGGGTACATTCTTGTTTGTTTGTGTTGGTCTGTTGGAATAAGGCAGGTTGTGTGAAAAATGGCCATATCATTGTTCTTAATCGTCGTTTTTGCTTTTCCAGGAGAAGGAGTTGGATCTGTAGTCTCTAGATTCGTGCAGGAGGCCGATATGGTATATGATGTTGCTTATTGTGGATATTCACACTCAAAAAGACCAATATTTTTCAGTGAAAATCAGTCTTTTACTGCTGGAGACTTTGTGGGTTCACACCAAGGCCAAGTTGGCATAAATTTTACCCATCGCAATACAGAATCTAATGATCATTTAGACAAACTAAATTGATGTACCCCTCAATCATTATTTTTGGTATTAGACTGCAGGTGTTGTTCTCGATTTGCTGCCATTGCAAAAGCTTTTGTTGGTTTTCTGATGAAAATAAATGCTGATTTGGTGGTTTATCATTGTCATTGACAAAGTACTAGAATGCTCTGTGACTGTTATGAAAGTAAGTTCAGACTTCCAGATTTTTTTTCTAGAAAATAATGGAAAATGATGTTTCAACTTTTTGTGCTGTGGGATATAATTTTTAGTATGAGAACAATGTTCTGTCTTCAGTCTGTGTTCCATTTTCTTAGGAATAAGTGAATGTTTGGTATGTATGTGAATGAGATTTTAACTTCTTTTTCCTGCCTATGAAACATAGCATACCTTTTCTAAATGTAATGAACCGAATTTAAGTGAAGGAAAAGCATTAACTTTACGAAAGAAAAATGTCATAGAATAGATCTCTACATTTAGCTGTTAAACAAGCCTCAATCCATGAGGCACTACCTGTTAGAAAGGTGTCTTGGTACAAAAGAAATAGAGACAACTAGCCAATAATGTTGGTGTACTTTTTAACTATGAAGTCAAGAATCTAATTACTGAAGTAGTTCTCAGGATTGGCTCATCACCATTGTGATGGACTTGGAAGTGGATCAAGATGATCGAATATGTCCATAGATGTGCTGAACTGCTTTGAAAGTAGGCTATTCCCCCACCTCAAAATCAGCTGAATTGCTCTGGAATTTCATGTTTATATAGTTTCTAAACCATTTTTCTCCAATTAAAAACACAAAGAATAGGATTTCGGCATAAATCAGCTGCCAAGAAGATAAAAATTCCAAAAATTTGAGCTGGAATACTGCAACGTGTACAAAATTCAAAAAAGACTTGGATAGTGGATAAACTTATTGCCTTATAAACTTTACCAGAGGATTATTAGTAGAATCCACAGTATTAGGCTCTTAGAGTTGGAAAACATGTTACGGAACAAAAAGTAAAAATGGAGAAATAGGGTTTCCTGAAAGACCTGGTTCGAAATGACTACAAACATAGTCAACTAAAAACTGCTGAGAATGAATAACCTCACCTCCACAGAGGGAAGATCATGAAGAGAAGAACCTTGTTCACATAGAAACAAAACCCGAAAAGAACATTCTTTTACTAGAGTTTGTGGTGTGAAAAGGGAAAAATAGGATGTCCTACAGACCTGTCTTGAAAAGCCAGGAATGGAATCAACCAAAGATTGGTGAGAATGAATGAAATTTTGCAATTCAAAAAAGACTTGGATAGTGGATAAACTTATTGCCTTATAAACTTTACCAGAGGATTATTAGTAGAATCCACAGTATTAGGCTCTTAGAGTTGGAAAACATGTTACGGAACAAAAAGTAAAAATGGAGAAATAGGGTTTCCTGAAAGACCTGGTTCGAAATGACTACAAACATAGTCAACTAAAAACTGCTGAGAATGAATAACCTCACCTCCACAGAGGGAAGATCATGAAGAGAAGAACCTTGTTCACATAGAAACAGAACCCGAAAAGAACATTCTTTTACTAGAGTTTGTGGTGTGAAAAGGGAAAAATAGGATGTCCTACAGACCTGTCTTGAAAAGCCAGGAATGGAATCAACCAAAGATTGGTGAGAATGAATGAAATTTTGATTACCTCCAAAGAGGGAACACCGTCAAGAAGAGGAGGGACTTGGATTTCCTTGTTCTTCCTAGGCTTGCTGCCGCATGGTGGTGCAGATGTCTGCAGAATCCTTGCCAGCCTCTTCTGTCTGCTACTCCAAAAATTCTTAACATCATTGTCTGTTCTTCCTGGCAAATATGTGGCTATTTTAGCCCATTTGTTACCAAATTGTGCTTGAAGATCTATCACTGTTCTCTCCTCCTCTGCCGAAAACTTCACCCCACTACACAAATTAAACGAGAAGGAAACATGAAAAAGTAAGGCCAGTGTTTTGTGCATGTTTATAATAACAAGTCAGAGAGAAGAAGAACCATATCAATATAACTTTTTCTGTGGAATATCTGAAAAGCCATTCTTAATTGATTAACAGTGATAAATCAGATACAAAGAAGGGTTAATTTCAACGCTCTCGCACACACATCTATAACTGGTTATGAGGTTGATGAAAATGGAGTGGCATTATTTGCATCTGGTTATGAGGTTGATGAAAATGGAGTGGCATTATTTGCATACTTCTTCAAGTTGGGTCGGAGTTTGTTAACCCAACGGAGACGGCACGACTTGCCAGTACGTTGCAAGAGACCTTTGGATCGAATGGAGCTCCAGTCTCTAGGGCCATATTTGTTGACATGGTTTATCAAAACCTCATCTTCTTCTGCCTTCCATGGCCCTTTCTTTATCGCACCCATATCATCACATAACATTCTTTTCCTCCCATCCATTCTCTATCAACATCAATTCGCTCTTCACCACACACATACACATAAAAATAAAATATGCATGCAAAAATCTTGTCTTTTTGAGAATTTTCCAGTAGATTTTTTGTCTCTGGAGTTCTGTCTTTCTTTTGTCAATTTTAAATGAGCAAGAGACCTTTGGATCGAATGGAGCTCCAGTCTCTAGGGCCATATTTGTTGACATGGTTTATCAAAACCTCATCTTCTTCTGCCTTCCATGGCCCTTTCTTTATCGTACCCATATCATCACATAACATTCTCTTCCTCCCATCCATTCTCTATCAACATCAATTCGCTCTTCACCACACACGTATACACATATATATAAAATATGCATGCAAAAATCTTGTTTTTTTGAGAATTTTTCGGTAGATTTTTTGTCGCTGGAGTTCTGTCTTTCATTTGTCAATTTTAAATGTTATTGGCGTGGGGGGTGGTGTAGTGACGGTTAGGAGCGGTTATTGGCATTATCTGTCCACTTTTTAATCCACGTTCTATTATTCTTTTGAATTCAAATTCAGTCCCCGGAATTTCAAAATTATGCTGGCAGCCCTGAAAATGAAAGAAAATATTTAAAAGACTGAATTGTAGTTAATACGTTAAAAAAATGTTCAATTTTGTGTTTAAAGTAAATAATTTTAATATTTAACTGTTTTTTTTTTTTTTTTACAGTACTAATTTATTGATTATATTTTATTGGTTTAATGACTATTTTGATATTTGTAGGATTGGATTATATATATTATTTGCTAAATTGTTAGAATAATTATTAAGTCTCTGAATAAAATAGGTTTCATTTATTTGGCAATTTAATAAGTGCTTTTAAGATTATATTGTATTCAGTTATATAAATAGAATAAGTGTACTAAGTTAATTTTTGTTCTAAATTATTCATGTTTGACAAACATTAAAAAAAAAAATTTCTTTATCAAACTCATTTTTAACCACACATTCTCATAATAAAATAGTTTATACGTAAGCTCAAAACTTTCTTTAAAATAAAATTAAAAAAAAAACTATTTCAAAACTTATTTTCCCTACTAATAAAAAAAAATAAAAAAAAAGGGCACTCACTATTATCATTGTCAATCAGGGCTAAGTTCTTTAATAATTTTTTAGTAATCCATTATTTAATATAATTTTTTCTATTTGAATGAATTTTAACATAAATTCTTTGACATTTAATATTTGCTCATCTGTATACTTTCTTATTATTTAACTGATTTTTTTAATTTTTTTTTTTTAAATGTTGTTAAATTAGCAAGGTTATTTGAACGATTTTATCAATCAAACTGGAGAAGACAATCACTCATTTACTATGAAAATAAGCAATATTTCCTTTATAAATATAAAATACTTAACCCTTGTTTGGTATTGTTTAAAATCTTTATTTTAATTTAATTCAAAGTCAACAATTAATTTTAATCACTCATTTTATGGGATCCATAATTTTTCAACTACACATTTCATCAAAATCTACTAAAAATCTAATTTTAATCACCACCAAACAGGGGTTTATAAGTACATTCAAGCATGAACATTTTTTTCCTTAAAAAAAAAAAAAGAAAGAAAGAAAAAGATGATTTTTTTTTTTTTCAAATTTACTTATAATTAAATTTAACTTACGTATAAACGGAGTCAAACATACTTTGAGACACAAAATGTTTGGACCGTAGCCCCATAGAAAATAAAATTTTTTTAGTTAAAAAAATACTTATAAATCACATTTTGACAAAAATTACTTATAAAATATGTTAAATGTATTATTTATCAAGATGCTTATTTTATTTACTTTTTATGTAAATTCACCTACAGGTAAACTAATTTTCTTATTTGTGAAAGTTGAAAATAAATAAAATATTTATTTTGAGGTAAGGCAAAGATTATTTTCAAAAAAAATGTAACCTTTCCGATTTCCCGAAAATAAAAAATAACATTATATTGGACAATGCTTCCACTCAATCACATAATCTACACCATCTTTTCCACTTGCTCACATGACAATACACAATTGAACAATTTCACGCAATCAATTGTATATACAAAAAAGAGTACAAATGACATTGTCCAACGAATTAAACAATTACACTTGTATGTAGAATGGTTTCGGCTCTTGCTGCCTAAAGGGGCTAGTGATCGATATATTATTGATCTCTTCAGTTAGGGATTTGGATTTGGGAGAAGCGTGCGAAGCGAGAACTGGAAAAATTGTGAGATGAATAAGTTGAAAATTCGGTGAAACTTATAATCAGTTGTATATACACTAGCCCAAACCTATATCTAGAAGGAAAAGGAAATATATTGTCCTATTATTACATTAATTTCTAACGAGACTAGAATATAAGATATATGCATTAATTCCTTAACTATTGTTCTATTTTAAATGGTTTGCTTGTTGTCCACTTGATCAACCCTACTGGGGTAAAATTACAAGCTTGCAGCTCGGAAATTCCAGCTCTCATTTGCCTTCCAATCAGCCATTAAGGCAAAATTCGAGTCCATGAATGGTGTCAACTCCTCAAGTGGCTCGAGTCCATAAATTATGTTACTTCTGAAGAACTGGATTGATACTAGCACAAGCACAAAAGTAGCGTGGTGAAAAAGGTCGATCATTTTCTTATAAAGCCCATGTTCGGTTCTCGTTTTCTAAAACTCATTTTAATCACGCATTTCAAGGAATTTACAACTTTTTATCAGCTTTTCAACTTCATATTTCATCAACTTTTATCAAAATCTACTTTTTAGCTAAACCAAGAAAAAAATGAGACTGTAAATCCGGAGAATATCAGGAGTGATACGAGCAAAGGCTATAATTTCAAGTCTATTAATGAACAACAAATACAATCGATGAGGATGCACTGCCCACAGGTCGGAACTTGGACCCACTCAAAATACATGCGTATATGTGCTCCTATGTGAATATACACATACAAATATATTCACATACAAAATGACACGAATGCAAAATTGGCATCAGGTGAGTCTTCCATACCCTTCGTATTTTGCGTACAGTTCATTTTCATGCATTTAGGATCGTTGTCGTTGGAGATTGCACTTAGTGCAAGGTTTCCACTATCGATCTGGCCCAGATGCTAAAACCACGTTTTCAGCAATCATCCGCTTTGCACTTGGTTACGAAGCTCCTATTTGACAACCATCATTTGAAAACTCATTTTCAACTAAATATTCACACAATAAGATATTTTGCACATAAACTTAAAATTTTTCTCAGCTTTTTAATTACACATTCTCCTAAAAATCACTATTCAAAACATTATTTTTATTTTTTGCAAATAATGGTTGTCTAACAGGGACTTGACATTTACCATGGATACAATAACTAGTGCACTAGAAGTGCGTTTTTCCCAATCCTCTCGTGCGAGGAAAAAAGGTCCTTATTTCAGTTTATCCCTTTAATACAACACAATACCATCCAATCCTCCTACATAGCGTACCAAAAATGTCATCCCCATTTTTTTTTTTTTTTTTTTATTTATCGAAACCTTTCGCTTTAGACGCGCCTTGAACATTCTTCAATGTAAAATCATAAACCTGCACAAATCTCTCTAGACCACACATTTTGCTTCACAAGCTTATTAATTTCTAACAAGATTTCTATAGATTTAATTTAAATTTTACGTGTTAACTAATGGAAAAGATAAAATATTCTTCAAAATATATTTTAAAACTCAATCAAGGCAATTTTACCTCTGATAGAAACAATTATACCCTATTCATGTAGAAATACTGAGATCAACTGGTCTCTTTTCATTTTAAAAAACATCCAAATTAGGCAACTCAATCAATGAAAATATGCTAAAATGCATTAAAAAAGTGTCATGGCTTGCTCAAAAGAATGTAAATAGAAAAGGAAAATATTCACCAAATAAATAATAATAAACCACCAAAAGTCACCACAATGTAGGCAGTGAAAATAATAGCCATAAAAATCACTCGAGAGTTCAATTTTAGTTCTCAATTCCAAAACAATAAAATTCGTTTAGAATCAAAACTCACAATGGCTAACAGCACATTTATTGTTCTATATAATTGAACCCTAGGCAACACCATCTATTTTGCTCGGCCTTCAAGTAAAAGATTACACTTTCAGGGTGGAAGAGAGTAATTAATAAACATAGACACCTTTTCTATCAAAACTTCGATGAACTTTTGGACTGTAACCTACCCAAGGAACCTTAAGAAAGTTACTTTTAAACCCCAGGTACAAGGCAAAAACATGAAACAAACTCATCGAATAAGAAGATATCCTTCTCTTCCACGTTTAGCCTGGGGAGAGAAGAATCTGAAATTTTAAATAGCACATCCCTATACAGCAAATTGAATTCTCCGGGCCATGCTTCTCCTTAGTTCCCGATAAAATGGTATTTCACAAAGTCAATCCATTGAAAGGACAGGAGGTATGAAAAGCTTTGAGCTGTAATGAGAATACATATGTTGGTAAATACTATCAAAAAAGGCTCCTATGTGAAACGTGGGCTCCCTACAACCAACTCAAAATGACAACAATACAAGTGCTGATGATGTTTTGAAGAGGCTATTCATTGGAGATGTACTTGCTCAGCAGAAACACGAAATACTGAAGGAATATTATACTTGATACTTCAATAGCTTGTCCTTCACGGGTGGCTCCAAGGTAGACATACATTGTTCCCATGCTCCGTTTTTTAGCATCTGGCAAGAATGTCATTGATTTAAAAATGTATTAATTATGTATCTCCTCAAATAGCGAACAGAATACTTGGGGGCATATAGGTGATTTGAACGTCCACACTCCCCATATGAGTGGAATTTGATTGCGGTTAGCATCTTGGGAACCACTTGATCATCAAATATATGCTCCCCCACAAAGAATAACTAGCTTCAAATATTGGTTCCTTATTCACACTTTCTCCGTCCTTTCCTGCAATTTTGGTGCTAGTAAGGTTGAGTGCTTTTTTTTTTTTTTTTTTTTTTTTCATTTTCCTTTTCCATGGTGGCAGGGTATAGCAGGTGAAGAAGATGTTCAAATACAGTGCTCAACTAGAATATCTTTTGCAAAGTAATTTGGTTCATAGCTATCATTATTGTGGCCAGGTACGAGCTAGAGATACTAAAACTAAGCCATAAAAGAAGTAACTGTCTGTCTCCAAACATGGTTGGAAGACCTACTTGCTTCTTACTCTTTAAGCTATACAAATTACCTTTATTTCAATGTAATAAGTAAACTTCAACTTTAACCAATAAAGAACATTTATTTTAAAGCTAACTATTCCTTTATAAGTAAACGTTCTGAGTCGTAGAGAACTGAATATATCAAGGAGGAGCTGCTTACTTGTTTATAGCCATGCAAAACCTGGCAAATTTCTTTGTGCAGATCTTCACTCCTTATTTCCTGTTAAGAAGAATAAGATAATTATTCAATCAACTTAATACATATTTCTTAAGAAGGCTTTAATGAAAAGGGTGACAGCACGTCACTTACATGCCAACTAGCAATAGCTTTGCACATGAAAACGAGAGAACTTAAAGCTCCAGATGGGTTTGCTCTAACCTAAAAGACATTGATAACATGAAATGAATGCCAATATATGGTCGAAATCCTGTCATACAAGAAAACAAGTGCATACCATTGCACATAAACCTCTGAAAGCATCTTCCTTCTCGACATCGTCCCGTATCCTGTCACAAGTTTATAATAAGCAGATAGATTACAAAATAAAAAATTTGGTTACCTGGAAAAGGTTAATTCTAATATCAAGTATATAACGTGACAAACTTTTGACGAAATGATTTTCCCATACGTACTCCTTACCTATGATGCTCGGACTCAAGTATGGATAAGTATCTAAGTGTTGGATCCTTTATTTTCTAAAATAAAGGATACAAGGATATGGTTAAAAAGAATATAAATTTTAAATCGGGTACTTGAGTACGTTTTTCAAGTTTCAATTTTTTTACTAACCCAAGATCTCATTTTGAATAGACCAAAATCAATTGTTCACAAAGAAGGAAATAGTATTGAATAAGAGATTAAGATGAATAAAATAAAATTTTGGGGTTTAGTTTTCAATTATGAGAAGTTAATTACTAAATGTTATATAAAATAGAAAATGAGGGACTTGATTGCAATTTGGATTTAATGGAGCATTAAGTAGTATTATATGGAACTCAATTTCAATTTATACAAGCAAAACCTTAAGCCACCGATACAAAGAGAGAAGGGAAAAAAAAAAAGAAGAAAAGAGAAGGGTAGGGAAAGGAAAAAGAAAGAAGAAGGGAAAATCTAGTGTCGTCGCCTTTCTCCAACCTCTCAGAGGTGGCGCAAGGTTTATAAAGAGTAGAAAAGGAAAAGAAAAAAGAAAGAAAAAGCAAAAAAGGGCGAAGTGTCTGGTTGAAATTCGGCGGATCCGACACATATCCTAACCCATACCCATGTCATGTCGTATCCGACACAGGTACTCCAACCATTTTGAAGAGTCCGAGCATTAGAGATCAAAATGCATGGAAAGATTACCCATGTTGTACTAAGTAATAGAATGTCCTAAAAGCACATCGAGGACTCCTAGGATCTAACTTTTCCCGATTATGGCTATGTACATGAATAAAGCTACACAATCGAAATTAAAAATTTGGATGAGAGATTTGTAAAAATGTTAGGATAGGTATTTAGCAGTAAGAACAGCTTTTTCCCATAAAGTATGTGTAGAAAAAGAACTTAAGTATGTATGGGATAGATTTCTTGAACCAATAGATTCACTAAAATCAGTCTCCTTTCCATGTTGATAATGTTCCTGGTATGCAGGTTTTGAAATTTACAATAAGTAGAAAAAAAACATAGCGACACAATTAAGACTTTTAGTGATTTTGCTAATTGACAGAAGGTTGCAAGACAATTTTGGAACATGTAGTGTGTAGTATGGCAAAAGAGATTTTAAAATAGGAATACACCATTTTCCCGCAATAGATGAGAGTGAACCACGTGATCTGTTGGAACTAAGGAACAGACAAATTTGAGTGGCTAGTCATGTGATCTGTGGTTCCTGAATCAATGACCCGAGAATTACATGTAAAGCTAGTGGCGTTTAATCAAGTCAAGTGAGCAAGTGCACAAATGGATGAGATATTGCCAATTTGAAACTAATAAAAGAGGAAGCACAATTGGGTTAAAAGGTGATTTATAAATAATTTGACAGCCAAGAATTCAATTGTATTGGAACTATCTGAAATAGGATTGAAAGATGCAAGAAATGGTCTAAATTGGTGTAGAATGGCCAGAAAAAAGAAGAAACGAGCATTGAACAAGTATAAATCTACCCAAAAAATGATTGAACTTGATTAACAAACATCTGAACAAGCCTCGAAGACATTTTAAGTGGGCTGAAAATAGGGTGAAACGGACTTAAAATTGCTTAACCAGCCTGATAAGAGACTGAACTGCTTTGAGATGTGCTGAACTGCTTTGAAAGTAGGCTATTCCCCCACCTCAAAATCAGCTGAATTGCTCTGGAATTTCATGTTTATATAGTTTCTAAACCATTTTTCTCCAATTAAAAACACAAAGAATAGGATTTCGGCATAAATCAGCTGCCAAGAAGATAAAAATTCCAAAAATTTGAGCTGGAATGCAAATTAGCATGTGGCCTGCTCTAATACCTTATTAAAGCTTGAGGTTCTATCTTATAAAGTCAACCTTGTTAAAAGAGTAGCCTAAGCCCCCATATATTGTACATATTATATCATTATTCCACGTGAGATTATTTAACGTATTCCTACAAGATGGTGGCTCATTTGAGGATGTCAGTATTGAAATTCATGCGCTCGTTTAAGTCTTAGTTAGGATGAATTGCTTGTTGGAGCTAAATGAGCTTCAGTACTATATGGTAAAAAAAAAAAAAAAGGAGAAATAATTTCTTGCTTCTTTGGTTTGTCAATTTTTACAAGGTTCAAACACATTGCTATACAATTATAAAAGGAAAGAAATAAATGGTCTAATCTATAGCTATACAATCCCCATAAATCTATCTATTCTATTGCTAAACCCTCCCCATGGATACTTCATAATCTATTCCATATTTAATGCACAATCATTGACCAAACCAGATTCTGCGAATGTGGACAGATTTTATGAGTGGAAATACAGCTAATTACAGCTATTTTTCCATAGTCTCAGTATAAATTGTTTTCATGTTTTCTTCTCACAGAGGATGCACATTGTTATAATACATCTTCAAGTTATGCTAAAGGGTACATTCTTGTTTGTTTGTGTTGGTCTGTTGGAATAAGGCAGGTTGTGTGAAAAATGGCCATATCATTGTTCTTAATCGTCGTTTTTGCTTTTCCAGGAGAAGGAGTTGGATCTGTAGTCTCTAGATTCGTGCAGGAGGCCGATATGGTATATGATGTTGCTTATTGTGGATATTCACACTCAAAAAGACCAATATTTTTCAGTGAAAATCAGTCTTTTACTGCTGGAGACTTTGTGGGTTCACACCAAGGCCAAGTTGGCATAAATTTTACCCATCGCAATACAGAATCTAATGATCATTTAGACAAACTAAATTGATGTACCCCTCAATCATTATTTTTGGTATTAGACTGCAGGTGTTGTTCTCGATTTGCTGCCATTGCAAAAGCTTTTGTTGGTTTTCTGATGAAAATAAATGCTGATTTGGTGGTTTATCATTGTCATTGACAAAGTACTAGAATGCTCTGTGACTGTTATGAAAGTAAGTTCAGACTTCCAGATTTTTTTTCTAGAAAATAATGGAAAATGATGTTTCAACTTTTTGTGCTGTGGGATATAATTTTTAGTATGAGAACAATGTTCTGTCTTCAGTCTGTGTTCCATTTTCTTAGGAATAAGTGAATGTTTGGTATGTATGTGAATGAGATTTTAACTTCTTTTTCCAGCCTATGAAACATAGCATACCTTTTCTAAATGTAATGAACCGAATTTAAGTGAAGGAAAAGCATTAACTTTACGAAAGAAAAATGTCATAGAATAGATCTCTACATTTAGCTGTTAAACAAGCCTCAATCCATGAGGCACTACCTGTTAGAAAGGTGTCTTGGTACAAAAGAAATAGAGACAACTAGCCAATAATGTTGGTGTACTTTTTAACTATGAAGTCAAGAATCTAATTACTGAAGTAGTTCTCAGGATTGGCTCATCACCATTGTGATGGACTTGGAAGTGGATCAAGATGATCGAATATGTCCATGGGAGGGAAGTCATCAATGAAGCTGTCCGGTGTTACAATGTTTTGATTTTCTCCTTGACTTGGAGTATGAGAGCCTCCATCTGGTCCAAAACAGGATGGCAAGATAGGAAGTTGTCCAGTGCCCAGTTCAGAACCACTACATTGTCCAAAAACATCATAAAAATTAGGATCTCCGAGCCTAGTGATGAAGTCTTGGTTTTCTACTGGTAAAGAATAATCTGGCTGGAGTTGTAGAATCTGAGGAAATGGGAGTTGTAACTGCTGTTCTTCATATGATTGCTTGTCAACGGCCGGATTGAACTCAATTTGATGTGGGCTATGTTCAAAATTCAGCGAACCGGGATACATTAACCCTTGTAAAGGCACCATTTTGATTGTCTCAGAATCATCAATATATGGTGATGAGCAAGATCGTGACTTGATTATTGATTCTTCCTCTCTCAACATGCTGAATATTGGTGCCTGAGATTGAAAACAATTAGATAATTTAGATAACCCAATAACTTTATATGACTCGTGTAAGGGTCTAAGCAGCCAGAGGAGAACCGGGAATTATACTACGTTAATCCTCATCACGACTACTTGTTCGACGCTTGTTTCATGGGTCTTAGGTGGGAACTTGAAGAATTTTTATCCTATTAAGCGCATTTAGCATATTTTATCATAATAGCAAAAGTGAGTAGAACTGACTCCATTGTGTTTGCTGCCACAGATCTCAATGGTTATACCACTTGCTTAACGCTATACTTTGATTCTGCCTCGTTTGATAGAAAATAGGCTCTAATATTCTCCATAAACATGATATTGTCGTAAAAACCAGTGGTTGATTAGCCAAAGAACTTTTCTCAATCCACCCATTATAATCAGATGCATGCTCTTTGCTGAGGAATGAAATCAGGGACAATGCTGAAGCGACCTTGGGTTATTTGCCAATTCGAACACATTAACATCATAATCTGCAACGTGTACAAAATTCAAAAAAGACTTGGATAGTGGATAAACTTATTGCCTTATAAACTTTACCAGAGGATTATTAGTAGAATCCACAGTATTAGGCTCTTAGAGTTGGAAAACATGTTACGGAACAAAAAGTAAAAATGGAGAAATAGGGTTTCCTGAAAGACCTGGTTCGAAATGACTACAAACATAGTCAACTAAAAACTGCTGAGAATGAATAACCTCACCTCCACAGAGGGAAGATCATGAAGAGAAGAACCTTGTTCACATAGAAACAGAACCCGAAAAGAACATTCTTTTACTAGAGTTTGTGGTGTGAAAAGGGAAAAATAGGATGTCCTACAGACCTGTCTTGAAAAGCCAGGAATGGAATCAACCAAAGATTGGTGAGAATGAATGAAATTTTGCTTACCTCCAAAGAGGGAACACCGTCAAGAAGAGGAGGGACTTGGATTTCCTTGTTCTTCCTAGGCTTGCTGCCGCATGGTGGTGCAGATGTCTGCAGAATCCTTGCCAGCCTCTTCTGTCTGCTACTCCAAAAATTCTTAACATCATTGTCTGTTCTTCCTGGCAAATATGTGGCTATTTTAGCCCATTTGTTACCAAATTGTGCTTGAAGATCTATCACTGTTCTCTCCTCCTCTGCCGAAAACTTCACCCCACTACACAAATTAAACGAGAAGGAAACATGAAAAAGTAAGGCCAGTGTTTTGTGCATGTTTATAATAACAAGTCAGAGAGAAGAAGAACCATATCAATATAACTTTTTCTGTGGAATATCTGAAAAGCCATTCTTAATTGATTAACAGTGATAAATCAGATACAAAGAAGGGTTAATTTCAACGCTCTCGCACACACATCTATAACTGGTTATGAGGTTGATGAAAATGGAGTGGCATTATTTGCATCTGGTTATGAGGTTGATGAAAATGGAGTGGCATTATTTGCATACTTCTTCAAGTTGGGTCGGAGTTTGTTAACCCAACGGAGACGGCACGACTTGCCAGTACGTTGCAAGAGACCTTTGGATCGAATGGAGCTCCAGTCTCTAGGGCCATATTTGTTGACATGGTTTATCAAAACCTCATCTTCTTCTGCCTTCCATGGCCCTTTCTTTATCGTACCCATATCATCACATAACATTCTCTTCCTCCCATCCATTCTCTATCAACATCAATTCGCTCTTCACCACACACGTATACACATATATATAAAATATGCATGCAAAAATCTTGTTTTTTTGAGAATTTTTCGGTAGATTTTTTGTCGCTGGAGTTCTGTCTTTCATTTGTCAATTTTAAATGTTATTGGCGTGGGGGGTGGTGTAGTGACGGTTAGGAGCGGTTATTGGCATTATCTGTCCACTTTTTAATCCACGTTCTATTATTCTTTTGAATTCAAATTCAGTCCCCGGAATTTCAAAATTATGCTGGCAGCCCTGAAAATGAAAGAAAATATTTAAAAGACTGAATTGTATTTAATATTTTAAAAAATATTCAATTTTGTATTTAAAGTAAATAATTTTAATATTTAACTGTTTTTTTTTTTTACAGTACTAATTTATTGGTTATATTTTATTGGTTTAATGACTATTTTGATATTTGTAGGATTGGATTATATATATTATTTGCTAAATTGTTAGAATAATTATTAAGTCTCTGAATAAAATAGGTTTCATTTATTTGGCAATTTAATAAGTGCTTTTAAGATTATATTGTATTCAGTTATAGAAATAGAATAAGTGTACTAAGTTAATTTTGTTCTAAATTATTCATGTTCGACAAACATTAAAAAAAAAAAGTTTTTTCTTTATCAAACTCATTTTTAACCACACATTCTCATAATAAAATAGTTTATACTTAAGCTCAAAACTTTCTTCAAAAAAAACTATTTCAAAACTTATTTTCTTTAAAGTTTTTTTTTTTAAAAATAGTTTTGAATGTTGTTAAATTAGCAAGGTTATTTGAACGATTTTATCATTCAAACTGGAGAAGACAATCACTCATTTACTATGAAAATAAGCAATATTTCCTTTATAAATAGAGAATACTTAACCCTTGTTTGGTATTGATTAAAATCTTAATTTTAATTTAATTCAAAGTCAACAATTAATTTTAATCACTCATTTTATGGGATCCATAATTTTTCAACCACACATTTCATCAAAATCTACTAAAAATCTAATTTTAATCTCCACCAAACAGGGGTTTATAAGTACATTCAAGCATGAACATTTTTTTCCTTAAAAAAAAAAAGAAAAAAAAATTTACTTATAATTAAATTTAACTTACGTATAAACTGAGTCAAACATACTTTGAGACACAAAATGTTTGGACCGTAGCCCCATAGAAAATTAAATTTTTTTAGTTAAAAAAATACATATAAATCACATTTTGACAAAAATTACTTATAAAATATGTTAAATGTATTATTTATCAAGATGCTTATTTTATTTACTTTTTATGTAAATTCACCTACAGGTAAACTAATTTTCTCATTTGTGAGAGTTGAAAATAAATAAAATATTTATTTTGAGGTAAGGCAAAGATTATTTTCAAAAAAAATGTAACCTTTCCGATTCCCTGAAAATAAAAAATAATATTATATTGGACAATTTTTCCACTCAATCACATAATGTACACCATCTTTCCCACTTGCCCACATGACAATACACAATTGAACAATTTCACGCAATCAATTGTATGTACAAAAAAGAGTACAAATGACATTATCCAACGAATTAAACAATTACACTTGTATGTAGAATGGTTTCGACTCTTGCAGCCTAAAGGGGCTAGTGATCGATATATTATTGATCTCTTCAGTTAGGGATTCGGATTTGGGAGAAGCGTGCGAAGCGAGAACTGGAAAAATTGTGAGATGAATAAGTTGAAAATTCGGTGAAACTTATAATCAGTTGTATATACACTAGCCCAAACCTATATCTAGAAGGAAAAGGAAATATATTGTCCTATTATTACATTAATTTCTAACGAGACTAGAATATAAGATATATGCATTAATTCCTTAACTATTGTTCTATTTTAAATGGTTTGCTTGTTGTCCACTTGATCAACCCTACTGGGGTAAAATTACAAGCTTGCAGCTCGGAAATTCCAGCTCTCATTTGCCTTCCAATCAGCCATTAAGGCAAAATTCGAGTCCATGAATGGTGTCAACTCCTCAAGTGGCTCGAGTCCATAAATTATGTTACTTCTGAAGAACTGGATTGATACTAGCACAAGCACAAAAGTAGCGTGGTGAAAAAGGTCGATCATTTTCTTATAAAGCCCATGTTCGGTTCTCGTTTTCTAAAACTCATTTTAATCACGCATTTCAAGGAATTTACAACTTTTTATCAGCTTTTCAACTTCATATTTCATCAACTTTTATCAAAATCTACTTTTTAGCTAAACCAAGAAAAAAATGAGACTGTAAATCCGGAGAATATCAGGAGTGATACGAGCAAAGGCTATAATTTCAAGTCTATTAATGAACAACAAATACAATCGATGAGGATGCACTGCCATGAAAGGCAGCAGTTGGTTTTTGTTGCAACACAATGAACCAAAAAAAAATTAATAATAATAGCCTTTTTTCTGGCCGACTTGTCCTATGATCTCTTCTTAGTCTGTATCCTCAACCCAGGGGGTGTCGTCTCCTGCACATATACAAGTTAAACAATGAAGCAACAAAACAGATGGATAAAAATTGACCTGGTAATTGGTTCATTTATACTGTAAAAGAAATGCTCTCGAGAAGATTATGGCTGTCTGCACTAATTGATCCCCCATAAATTTTGATCACTATGTCAAAGAACATTAGGATTAGCCCCTATTTGGGCTCCATTAAAATGAGATCTTGGGAGAAAATGTGTTTTCGAATAGTCATTTTTTAATGATTGTGTGGTTAAAAAAAAAAGGAAAAGTTTTGGGTTTGTGTGTAATATTATTTTGTGGGAGAACGTGCTGGTTGAAATGAATTTTGAAAAAATGGAGCTCAAAGGGGCCAAGTGTGGCTCTCTCTCAGGGGATGACATGTTTGCGTCGCTAAGATTTTAAAGGTGAGGAAATATGTGGGGATTGATATATCCACCTGTGAACAGCACTACACCCCACTTATTCCAAGAGGCAAAAAAGGTCAAAAGAAACAAAATGTCGTACCAAGAATTTTGAAGCAGAATCCTGAAGAAGTGAAAGTCTAATCTGTTACCTTTTCGGCCGGCTTCGATCTTCCTCGTAGTCCATCACTACACCATGTTCGGAAAAGATCTCTTCATGCCCTCGGAACTCGGCGTCGGCCTGCTTACAGTTTGTAACTTCTGCCATAATGTAAGTAAGACACATCGACTAACAATCCTGAGCATGATTATAAACTAATTCTTCATTTTAAAATATTAACTGTGAAAGATAACAAAGAAGAAAATTGTGATATGGGGATTGGTCATCCATTTAATCCTCTTTCATTTGATTCAGAAGGCATCAGTAAACCAGACTTACAAAAACTATAATACAGCAAACGTGCAAAGAACTTGCATAAAATAGGTCAATCAATATGCTTACCTATGAGAGAGAATTCGGCTTAATTAAAAAAATTAATTTAAATAAACAAATCAAAATAGACCTGAACATGAAACAAAAGCGCACACACATCACATAAGACACAGAGGGAGACTCCGCCATGCTCCCACATACAATATAACAGGTTTGATCATGCACACATTTGGATGAGGAAATGGTTGTCGAGTTTTAAGTAACCTTTGACTAAATTACTTTCATTACATCACCGCATAGCAACTGAAAGTCAGGAGTTACACCATGACAATAAAACAGCAGTGTTAAAAAGATAAGCATGCATAAGCTGACCTTGAAGGATAGTGTCTTCTTCACTTCTTCCACCCTTTCTTCTACTCCCTTTCGGTGCTTCTTGTCCATTTCACTCATATTATCTGCCCATCTGATCTTCTCTTGAATTGAGACAAGAAGATTGTCTGACGTTGACAGCCTAAGATATGGTCAACCCAAGAATTTAGTAAAAGATTTAGATACACGCGACAAACAAAAATAAAATAGAAATAAAAAACATAAAAAAAATAAAAAAGAAGCACAACACACATTATACAGTGCTCTTAAAAATCTCCAATCTAAGGACTGTTGACCACCAGATTAATGCATTTAAATGCGTGTGATATTTTTAAGAGACAGGTCTCAAATATTTGGAAATGTCACAAAGCAAAAATACCCCGCAACTGTTTACTTGAGTCATCTCTCAGACTTTAAAGAAGCTACTAAATCTAAAATAAATAGTTCCACTGGTGTAGACAAAAGACTGGTCAAAAAAATCACAATGCTACAAACACACGCACACGCACTGTAGTATCTCCTACATACTAAATATGCTGGAACACAAATAAGTTAAGTCATTCCTGTATACAAAGATGATACACAGGAAAAAAATTAAGTCCTGCATGCTAAAATGACATGGTAAGTCCTGCATGCTAAAGCAGCCAAACAAGAAATGGACATGAGTTATTTGAAATGATAAAGCACTACTACAATAATTAAGAAATGAATGAAACATTTAACTCCCAAAACAGAGACATTACCAGTCAGATATTGTCTGTATCATACTGCCCAATTGTCCTGGCCTTAGATCCCTCCCTGCAGCAAATTGTACCTACAAGTTCACCAGAATTAGAGTAGTTACCAATTACCAGTTCCAACAGTCGGGTCTCCACAAGGTTAAAACAAGTGATAAAATTAAAGAAAGACCTCAAAACATCTCCGCAACTGATCCAGCTTCCCTCTGACTATCCCCTGTGTGCAAAAGCAGCAACAGAATCAACATATTTATCATTGCAGTTTCATCTAAAAAGTCAATGCCAATCTTATAGCATAAGACAATGCACAAAACAAAAGAAACCCCCCCCCCAGGGGGTCCCCCGCCGGGGGGGGGGGGGGGGGGGGGGGGGGGGGGGGGGGGGGGGGGGGGGAGGTATTAAATGACAGAAGTTAGTGATGCTGCGCAAAATAATAATAGGTCAAGGCAATGAAAAGAAAACTTACCACATACATGCAGTCATTAATCAGAAAATCTTCTAACTCACGAACATTTTTAACATCCAACTCCTGTATCAATACATCATAGGGCAATACCTGGGCAATGGCCAAAGAAATGCTTAAGAGAACCAAACAATTTTTGAAATAGGAAAATGGTTGTGATGCCAAGTGATATAATTACGAAATTTGAATGATGAGGCAAAGAATGATCCATAGAAAACATAATTACAAGGATGACATATTTCACTACCAATTCATATGTTCAACTGAACCTTTGTGTGCAGAAATGTAACTAACCAGAAGCTTTCAAATTTACCAAACAAGCACAAGCACAGAACACATTTTTTTGCAAAATTAAAAGGGAAAATTTTAATCAACTAAGTGATAAGCCAAAATATTTACACAAATTTCATTGAAATTTTAAAAAAGAAATACAGAACATGTCAAGGTATGATACCTTATTTGTCTCAGCCAGGGTAAGCACAGTAAGCTGCTTCAACTTGAGGACTTGATCAGGAACCAATGGTGGAAGACGACTAGCAACGCCTGCATCACAGCATACATTTTAGAGAAAGCCACAGAGAGAATCTGACCTCTATTAAACAAAAAAAAAAAATTATGAATATATTGTAGAAGCACATTAGCATATGCATGAACATCAAACATATGGATACTTGTGAAAGAAACATTTAGAATATGTTTATGCAGGTTCATTCTGAGACCTTTCCACCTTCAAAGAATGGAACAAGCTTAATAAGAGTTCTTAAACATGAGAAAGGAAATCTATGAAATCATGGACTAGCTAGAACAAAATCTTGAGAGATATATTAACAACGACAACATACTCCAAAAAAGATCAGCCGGATGAGCGGGTGTCTTGCTTGATGTTAACACCAGGAATCAATATAACATTTCTCACACCACACAAGGCAGTAGGATAAGTCTATAATTGCTATCTACTTCATAACTAGCCCAATAATTTCCGGTTCTTTTTGCATTTTTCATAAGAGTTTAATTGGTCATAATAATGCTGGAAACTTTGAATCTCTTCATAAATTTCACAGATTTGGATATAAATCAAAATGCAAAAATAGAAGAGCAGGACAAACTCCATAATTTCATTTATATACAGCAAAAAAGATCAGACAGTCCTCATTCATGCTATACATGGATGATTTTCACTTTCCAGTCAGTGAATCAGCTTAGAATATTCCTTCACTAAACTTTAATTTCCAGAAGACAAGATTCACTGGAATCTAAAATGTATAGCATCTTGTTTAAAACTAGAAGCCCATAACAAAATAATTTAGAAGTTCCAACAAAAAGACAAACAGCTACTAACATATGTTGAATTATTTCTAAAAGTGTGTATTATATTGGAAATTTTACCTTGCTTGTGAAGTTATTAAGCAACTTATCTAATGAATAATAAAATAATTCAAGCAAACTTATTATACAAGAAGTAAAATACATTTCTATGCAAGTCATCCATAGAGAAAGAAGCTAGGTGAAGAGATCTGAAGATGCGTGGAAACAATAAGTAGTGTAAAGATAGAAATAAGCCAAGAGTCTTGGATATAGAGCAATTTTGGCAAATAAACCCACAGCTAAGTTATGAGCCCCACACAAATGAGTGGTTACTTAAATTGTATCGGGAATGGGTCCTGCACAAAGTAAAAAATAAGGTAAACCCTACTTACGTGCCTTATTTAAACCAACAAAATTTTGTAGGTCCATTGCCAAACATGCTCATAGCATGAAGAGATCAAAGTTGTCGCTCAAACTTTCTATAACAGCAGAATAACATTAGAAACTATTTTTGGCAGTGGTACTCAATTCAAAGACCAACTAATATATATAATAACAACATTAAAATAAAGGAACGTAAGGTTTCGCAAACTATATCAGCTTGGTCTCTTCTTAGTCTGTTGAATGTATAAAGCTTATGATTGGCTTTAAAACCATTCTGAAGGATGTTCTGGATTAGCTTTTCAAAATTTTTGGGAGCAAGGACCATGTAAATTAAGTGCATGTGGTTCAATAACTCCAAGTTATTGTACTATAAATTTTCATTGACACTCATTATGAATTACGGATGCCGATGTGGTTAGGTTTCCCCAAGCTTAAAAGTTGTTATGTAAGTACATAAATTATATTTTGGGTTTTGCGTTAGGATATTAATCCATTCACCATGGAGATAAAATTCTACTCGTTCGTGTTAAGATAAGAAATCCATACACGTGTGATCCTAAATATAAATATAGGCAAATTCACCCAAATAAATCTCTGATGCGGGTCCACGTGCATGTCTCCATCAATAGGCATCAAGAGGCATATAAATAATACATAAAGCAATATTGTGGTAATGGCTTCATTGCACGCCTTTCAGGTGCGCAAAATATAAACATAAGTAATGCTATCATAACAATATTCCACTACTAGTGAAAATGTGGCATCTTCACAAAAAGAATGCCCAGAATACAAATACCAACTTGGGATAGTATAATTCCTTTATATTTGGGGTCAAGATCATAGATCCTGACATGAATAATGCCCAGCACAGTGCAACTCTTGCCACTTTCAAGTGAATAGAGTTGTCGCTCATAAAAAATAAAAAGTGATTCAGCTCCATTCCAGACTAGACAATATGACACTAGTAACTCTTGTAATATCATAGTAAAATGAATGAATTGGGCCAACTTCAAGCAACCTTGTGGATACACAACCATGATAAATGATAATACAAAAATTAAAATGCTTACTCTTATACTCACTCCATGTGCCATGGGCAAACATTCGAAGCAAATCAAGAAAGGCTGCATTCTCAGTTCCTTCGAGCTGCACATGAATCCAATAGTTAAAGACGGAAATATAAAGAACAGAAAAATATGTCCCATATAAGCATTAGATGCAGAAAGATTACCAAGCTGTATCAAGAAAGGAAACTAAATATTTACTTGAGTAGCCTATTAAATATTAATGCATAATATCGGTAATAGTTGAACTCAAAACATTGTAAACGTAAAAATTCTTTCCCACATATCTGTCAAGTTATCATGTTCTCTTTCTTCACTCTATTTAATTGTCCTTGGACATTCCCGATACTACCTTTGGTGAGAGAGCTTTAGGCAGGTCTGTTTTGCCTTTTCTTTTGCCCTTCTGTCCTCCCCCTTGATTCATATATTTTCTGATTTCTAAAAAGGTTATGCCGGGTAACGAAGTGCTCTGTCTCAATTGAGCAAGGAGTCACCTCAAGGCACTTTGAGGCATAAACCATGACTTAAACCAATAAAATAATTTAAAAAATTATATAACAGAATTTTGGTCATGGTAAACCATAAAGAAAATCCATAATAAAACCTCCCAATTTTGTAAAGTTTAATTTACAATTCGAAACATAAAATAGATAGACTGAGTAGCAAATAATAAATTAACAAGCAATACAAACAGATAACAATATCACTCGCACTAGCCCACAACTAGAACTAAAAGTCAAAAACAAATGAAATAAGAGGCTATTTGAGAATTTTGCTAGCATCAACTTTAAAGAAAGATAACAGCTGGAAACAGAATAAAGCAAAGGGGCAAGGCAAGAAAAGCCATCCAAAAAGCTAAGCTAGATAAAAAACAACCTTGCTCTGTCTCAATTGAGCAAGGAGTCACCTCAAGGCACTTTGAAGCATAAACCATGACTTAAACCAATAAAATAATTTAAAAAATTATATAACAGAATTTTGGTCATGGTAAACCATAAAGAAAATCCATAATAAAACCTCTCAATTTTGTAAAGTTTAATTTACAATTCGAAACATAAAATAGATAGACTGAGTAGCAAATAATAAATTAACAAAGCAATACAAACGGATAACATTATCACTCACACTAGCCCACAACTAGAACTAAAAGTCGAAAACAAATGAAATAAGAGGCTATTTGAGAATTTTGCTAGCTTCAACTTTAAAGAAAGATAACAGCTGGAAACAGAATAAAGCAAAGGGGCAAGGCAAGAAAAGCCATCCAAAAAGCTAAGCTAGATAAAAAACAACCTAAAAACACAAGACCAGGAAGTGCAACCCTCAGGTGCCTTAAGGCTTATGGCTTGTGATGTGGGCCTCGACAAGTTATGGTATAAGCCTTGACAAAGGAAACTCGAGTAATCTTTCAGGTTCCTAATGACTTTCTCACACAAAGCACGCCACAAGGCGTAAAATTGCTTTCAAAGAATATTATTTAAGAATCAGAACAAGACCCATCCTATCAAGAAAAAGGCAGATCTTTCTCGACAAGCTCCATTTTAATGGTTATGTATAATATGGGACAAGGTCAATAACCATTAAGGCATTAACAAATGGACTAATAGGCAACAATTCATCCAATACCAAGCATATTACTCCAAGGCAAGACACTATTTGTTAATCGTATAAAAAGGGTAGCAAGAATGGTATACCCAGTTCATCTTCCCCCTTCTAACCACACTGATATAGTTAAAAATCTGAAGTCGTGTCCAAATATTAATAAACAAGCTGTTATATACATATGTCAAGTAAAAGTAAACAAAAACTATCAGAAAACTAAATGATGGAGAACTTGCTTGCTAAAATCATTCCACGTAAAACACCCACAAAAAGCTATATATTCAACTAAATCAACGGAAGATGCTTAAACTGATCTTTTCCACCAAAAAATTTAAAAAAAAAAAATCAAAACTACCCATTTTTTTCAATATGCATATAAATAAAATACTATTGATAATACATACCTCCAGGACGTTAGGAACAGAGATAATCTCGGAGAAAGCGAAGAGGGAGGGGTGGGAAGTTGCCTCAACGACGAGGTTTCTGAGGGAGGAGCCCTTGAGATTGGACGCCTGCTTCACAAAGTAATCTATGTGCTCCGCTTGCTTTTGCTCGATATCCATCTCTCAGATTTCGATTTCTAATAATCTGCCCCCAAAAAACTTACAGAATTTTTATGCATAAAAGTGCGCGTATATGTACAATATACCTGTATAAATCTTGAAGGGATTGGAATCGGTGAAAATATAATCTCCGATTTTGAAAGATAAGATTTAGGGTTTAGAAATACTGAAGTCGATTTCGAGTCTCTTTTCTTGGTAGAGACACGGGACTTCTGGCTTCAGTGTGTGTGTGTGTGTGTGTTTCAATACCGGTAATTTTTGCTATTTTGAGACGAAGGTTTCTTGAACCCGAAGCTAGAATTTTCTGGTCTGTTTAAAATTTATTTTACGGATAATTACAGTTACGGTTCCAAACCTACTTTACCCTATCAATTTTGTAAAGTTTAATTTACAATTCGAAACATAAAATAGATAGACTGAGTAGCAAATAATAAATTAACAAGCAATACAAACAGATAACAATATCACTCGCACTAGCCCACAACTAGAACTAAAAGTCAAAAACAAATGAAATAAGAGGCTATTTGAGAATTTTGCTAGCATCAACTTTAAAGAAAGATAACAGCTGGAAACAGAATAAAGCAAAGGGGCAAGGCAAGAAAAGCCATCCAAAAAGCTAAGCTAGATAAAAAACAACCTTGCTCTGTCTCAATTGAGCAAGGAGTCACCTCAAGGCACTTTGAAGCATAAACCATGACTTAAACCAATAAAATAATTTAAAAAATTATATAACAGAATTTTGGTCATGGTAAACCATAAAGAAAATCCATAATAAAACCTCTCAATTTTGTAAAGTTTAATTTACAATTCGAAACATAAAATAGATAGACTGAGTAGCAAATAATAAATTAACAAAGCAATACAAACGGATAACAATATCACTCACACTAGCCCACAACTAGAACTAAAAGTCGAAAACAAATGAAATAAGAGGCTATTTGAGAATTTTGCTAGCTTCAACTTTAAAGAAAGATAACAGCTGGAAACAGAATAAAGCAAAGGGGCAAGGCAAGAAAAGCCATCCAAAAAGCTAAGCTAGATAAAAAACAACCTAAAAACACAAGACCAGGAAGTGCAACCCTCAGGTGCCTTAAGGCTTATGGCTTGTGATGTGGGCCTCGACAAGTTATGGTATAAGCCTTGACAAAGGAAACTCGAGTAATCTTTCAGGTTCCTAATGACTTTCTCACACAAAGCACGCCACAAGGCGTAAAATTGCTTTCAAAGAATATTATTTAAGAATCAGAACAAGACCCATCCTATCAAGAAAAAGGCAGATCTTTCTCGACAAGCTCCATTTTAATGGTTATGTATAATATGGGACAAGGTCAATAACCATTAAGGCATTAACAAATGGACTAATAGGCAACAATTCATCCAATACCAAGCATATTACTCCAAGGCAAGACACTATTTGTTAATCGTATAAAAAGGGTAGCAAGAATGGTATACCCAGTTCATCTTCCCCCTTCTAACCACACTGATATAGTTAAAAATCTGAAGTCGTGTCCAAATATTAATAAACAAGCTGTTATATACATATGTCAAGTAAAAGTAAACAAAAACTATCAGAAAACTAAATGATGGAGAACTTGCTTGCTAAAATCATTCCACGTAAAACACCCACAAAAAGCTATATATTCAACTAAATCAACGGAAGATGCTTAAACTGATCTTTTCCACCAAAAAATTTAAAAAAAAAAAAATCAAAACTACCCATTTTTTTCAATATGCATATAAATAAAATACTATTGATAATACATACCTCCAGGACGTTAGGAACAGAGATAATCTCGGAGAAAGCGAAGAGGGAGGGGTGGGAAGTTGCCTCAACGACGAGGTTTCTGAGGGAGGAGCCCTTGAGATTGGACGCCTGCTTCACAAAGTAATCTATGTGCTCCGCTTGCTTTTGCTCGATATCCATCTCTCAGATTTCGATTTCTAATAATCTGCCCCCAAAAAACTTACAGAATTTTTATGCATAAAAGTGCGCGTATATGTACAATATACCTGTATAAATCTTGAAGGGATTGGAATCGGTGAAAATATAATCTCCGATTTTGAAAGATAAGATTTAGGGTTTAGAAGTACTGAAGTCGATTTCGAGTCTCTTTTCTTGGTAGAGACACGGGACTTCTGGCTTCAGTGTGTGTGTGTGTGTTTCAATACCGGTAATTTTTGCTATTTTGAGACGAAGGTTTCTTGAACCCGAAGCTAGAATTTTCTGGTCTGTTTAAAATTTATTTTACGGATAATTACAGTTACGGTTCCAAACCTACTTTACCCTAACCTAACCCTCACATTGTGAATTCCAAACCTTTTAAAAATATACATATGGGTCCAAATCATCCATTTCATCGCTAATTGACAACAGAAAAGGTAAACTTTGACGAATTTTGGCCAAATTAAAAGGATATATTGGGCGTGGTTTGGTTTGGATTGGTTTCGACTTCAACCCAAACTCAAAACCAAATTAGTGGATTTTGATGAATTTCAACCCAAATTAACCCACTATAATATAACCCTTAAACCGAATCGAATCAAACCAAATCGCCTTGGTTTGATTTGGCTTGGTTCGGTTAGTCGGTTTAAACTTTTAGTCTAAATTATTTTATTTTATTTTTAAATATCCAAGTTTTAGTCCAATTAAATTACAAGAACTAAAATAACAAAATAACTTTATATTACAATCGTTATTAATTAACAAATAAATTCAGATTACTAGAGATGTGATTCTTATAGCACTATGTACTATTTCGATTTCTCAATTATAAAGCTCTGAAGATGCTTCTTAATTCTTCCAAATTCATTTACTGGCTATTGATGGGGACGGGGCCTGGAAAGAAGAGAGTGAGCGATGACGACGATAGCTTGATTCAACATTTTCTAAGGGTAATTGGATTTTTGCTAAGATTTAATTTGGAACTTCTTAAGTTCAAATCGAATGAAAAAGATGATGGTTGGGCAAAAAAAAAAGTGTACATTTCCTTTCTAATTTTTTTCTCTATTTTTAATTGTCGCAGATACTTATGCTTTAATTAGGGGTATCAATTTTTTTATGGGGATGTTGGGTTTCTAGTACCCCACAATCAACTCTATACTGTGTTATGGGTAGTTGAGGGTACAGCTCGGGTTCTGACGTTGGAGCCCCGACTATTTGTCAGATGTTTCAACGTTTTTAGAGACTTTTATTGACTTTTTTAAGTGGGTGACTCTCGTATATTTTATGAACTTTTCAGAGATTTTTATATATTTGGTAGGATTTAATAAAAATCTTACATGAATTTCTAGAGACTTTTAAAGACTTTTGTTTATTTTATTTTTTTCAAAAGTATATAATTTAATATTTTAAACAACTTCTTGTATGTCCAAATTATTCGTAACTCTTATAATTAAAATGCAAAGCAATAAATCATATTTTTCATGTCAATAAAAAAAAATTGTAATTTTTTTTTGAGTCACATCAAATAGAGTAACAAATAATCAAATACCCAAAAAAAAAAAATGTAATAGTAACTAGTAATCTTCAACAAAAAAAATCAAACATTTCCTACATCATTCCACATATCAGCCACTATTGTAGCTTTCTATACATTAGCATTCTCTCTTTCTTGTTCCTGACTCTCAAAAAATGGTCCAAAATCTTCCCCCATCATTAATTGAAGAAAATGAAGAATCTTCATTGTCAAGTTCAATAGGAAATTCATCCGAACGACACTCTTTGCGAAGAAAATTGTGTAATCCAGTACATGCTAATACAAGCTCCGCTTGTGTACTATATGGAAATGGAGGAGCTGTTTTGAAAATTGTAAATCGTGATTTAAATATACCAAATATTCTCTCAAATATGTTTCTCAAGGAAGCATGACGAAGATTAAACAACTCTTTTGTATTTTCAGAATCACGACCTTAATCAGCAAAATCTTGAAGATGATAGCAAACACCTCGAAAATGAGTTAAGAACTGACGTCGATTTGGAAATCCACAATCTCCCAAAAAATATTTACCTGAACATAAAATACTTGTAAAATTCGCAAGTGACTTATTACATAATTATCATACAGCAAGAAAAAAGGGAAAAATGAAAATAATAAAGTCATACTTTGTGGCACTTTAAGTCCATTTCTCCTTGTTAAAGCATCACTCAACACCTTAAAATTATGTGTTGATCCCTCCCAACCACTAAGCACATATATAAATTCCAAATCAAAGTTAGAAGCGGCCAAAACATTCTGTGAAATTATCACATGACGATTTCTATAACTGCTTGTATCACGTCCGGTTACCATTGCTGAAATATGGATACCATCAATAGCTCCAATACAATCCTAAAATTATAAAACAATACAAAAAAATAATGAGAACAATATTGATAACAAAAAAAAATTATAATAAATATTATTTATCACTTATTTTAAAGTAAGGGTAAAATCTTGTACTTTCCCTTATTTTTCTGGCACAATGGATCCTGATTTGACCATCATATATATTGCAATTTTGTTTAATGTCTGTAAAATCTTGTTGAAACTTCGACTGTTAGTGGAATGTGATTGACAAAATTTTTGACGAATCAAGCAATATTGAGTGTTTTGACCAACAATGAGTAAGAATGTTGCAAGTATTTCTTCAATACAAATATACCTAGTATCCTATAAGGGTGTTTTTTCTCTAATGATATTGCTTAATTTTAGAAATATATTCGGATGCATTCTATAAACTTGTCGAAAATGTCCTGGATCCTCCTTTAATATTTTTTGTATATAGTTGTATCCATAACTAGTTTTTGGTTGCCTAGTTAGTGAACGCTTAATATGTTCACAACACATATCATTTATATAATCATTTATCACATAGAGAATTGTTTGAATTGCCATCCATGAATACCTAATAGTTTCATATAATGCTTCCGCATTCTCATCTTCTTCAATCTCATCCATCTCTAATTTATGATCTTCATGTACATTAACATTAGACATAATATATGTGAAAGTACCTAAAAATAGAATGAATGAAATTAAAGACATACACAGAGAAAATGATACTGTTATTCAAAATCGAAATAACTCAAAAAATTTAGAATCCAACACTATAATCAAACTTAAAAAATCCATAAATAGTAAATTAACAATCCAAAACTTTAAAATTTACTACTGATCACGTCCAAAAAATGCCTCATTTTAATTTAAATGTTATCCATTTAGAACGTTCTTCGTAGTGATGGCAATGGACCGAGTCAAGCCAGCTCGACCCTTTAACCCACGAGCTCGGCTCGGGCTCGTGGTGAGTCAAGC